AGATGTTTTTGATAAAGTAAGTAGCTTAAATTCAACTAAATATAATTATTTCATAAAATATAATTATTATAATTATTTTTTTATAATAATTATAATTATTTCATTTATTGTATTGTTATTTATAGGCAAGAGCCGCAGCTCCTTGTGTATTATTCTTTGATGAACTCGATTCTATTGCCAAATCTCGTGGTGGTACACTAGGCGATGCTGGCGGAGCAGCAGACCGCGTGATAAATCAAATTTTGACAGAAATGGATGGTATGGGTGCAAAGAAAAATGTATTTATCATAGGAGCTACTAATCGTCCTGATATTATTGATCCCGCTATTCTACGACCTGGTAGATTAGATCAGTTGATTTATATACCATTACCAGATGAAAAATCTCGAGAAGCAATTTTCAGAGCTAACCTTCGAAAATCCCCTGTAGCGAAGGTAGAAGATTAAATACATTCGCATCACTAATTTTGTTTTAATCTTAATTATTTAATTCTTTTGTTAATATTTATTCCACAGGATGTAGATTTGAGTTACATTGCTAAAGTAACACATGGTTTTTCGGGTGCTGATATAACAGAAATTTGTCAACGTGCATGTAAACTTGCCATTAGACAAAGTATTGAAACTGAAATTCGAAGAGAAAAAGAACGAGCTAGTAATCCATCTACATCTATGGACGTAAGTGTCTATTTCTAATGTCATATATTTTTTCATTTATTCATTCTGGGATAAAAGAATGGTGTAAAGAATGTCCCAAATTTAATTAAATGTATATATAATATTTAGTTTGCAAAATGGAATTTTATTCCATTTAACACATATATGTTTTATATATTTTATTATAGTTACTAATTAGTTTAATATTTTATATTATTATTAATTATAATTATATTATTAATTTATATTATTATTAATTTTATATATGATGTTACAGATGGATGAAGACGATCCTGTGCCAGAAATAACTAGAGCTCATTTCGAAGAAGCAATGAGATTTGCACGACGTTCTGTATCTGATAACGATATTAGAAAGTATGAAATGTTTGCACAGACGCTTCAACAGTCTCGTGGATTTGGAAGTAATTTCAGGTATATAAATTGTTCCGATATTTTTTTTAAAACGTACATTATCTAATTTTTTGTATAAATTTTGAAATTTAATAAATGATAGAACTTACATCCGTTGTTAAATATTCTATTTAATATAATAGCTTACATTCATTCTAAAGTAAATATTAAATTGTTACAGATTTCCGCAGAGCGGAACAAGCGGTACTCAAGATACAACACAAGGCGATCAAACCTTTCAAGATGATGGAGATGATGATCTTTATAGCTAAGTTCATGTCTGTGTACCTCATTACAGTGAGCATGCGACAAAAGGGCCTGTCTATACTGCAGAAAATACTTTGTGTTTATAAACACAAATTTTACAAAAAAGTAATTCTAAGAAATTGATAATATAAAAATATATAAATCTAATTCAATACTAATTATTCTGTGTAAGTATATGCAATTTTACGTATGTAATTAGGGTAAAATTTTAATTAAACTAAATTAAAGATATAAATGTAATAAAAGGACATTTTTTAATATTAAAATTGAACAAGGAAAAATATAAAATTGCAAAAGTTATATTATATGACTAAGATTATATAACTTTAATTTCATTTTATACGTATAGATAAAATGAAATATAGTTCGCTGATTATTACTTTATAAACTGCCCTAATATAATACGTTATTTTGTATGTACATTGCATAGGAATATATGAATTTTTCGTTATTCATAAGTTTTTCTATGTAATTTTATATTTGAGTTATTTACACAAAAATGTAATTCTAATTCTGTAATAGTGTTATAAATTTTTTTCAACTTAGAGATAGACTCTTTTGCTACGTTGTCGCTGTATTTAATTACATTTCATTGTTCACATTCAGAAATTACAATAATGTGAGAGTTTATGCAATGTCAGTGAAATTGTTGGAACTGGTGATGTGTATTGGTGAATTTACAGTCTGCTTATAGTAGTAAATTTATTTACAAATTACCAAAGAATCTCTTAAAACCTTTCACTTTAAAAGTGTTACAATTATTTATTTTTATCGTACTTTTCATACTTCACAAAAAGTTAGGATCTTTTATTAAATAATTAAAACTTTCTGATATACTTCATTTATTTTTATTTGCAAGTATATTAATTTTTACATATATGATTATCAAACTATTGATAACTAAAATTATTCATTATTTATTTATGCAGCTATTACAAATTTAATACAAGTTACAAAATATATTTATAACTATAAGTAATTGAAATTTTCCGGTATACATTTTTTATGAATATTTATTAAAATATTTATATAGGCATTGAAAAGAAGAAAAACCAAGTGGAACTAAACAATTTTTTAAGTAGTACATTATTATCTTTTACATTCACTAAATGTTTGTAACTTAGATTGATTCATACTTTACATTTTTTTTTTATTTGATTTAACATTTTTTTTCATTCTTTAAAAGTACATCTACATATTATTGTGAAATTTCCCATTTTCACTTAATATTTCTAATGGAATCATAATATTACATTTTTATAAAACATGAAGGTTACGTTAAATACATTATGTAAAATGAATAAAGAATATTATAATAGAATAATAGTTTATTGTATAAAAATTTGTTATATTCAATAATATAATTATTTTATAACGCAAAAAATTTAGAAAAATTGAGTTTTCATAACTAAAAATTAAGTTTCTTTAATGCACCATAATAAAATCATACATATTCATTAGAAGTTTTATATGCAATGTCAGTACTTAAAAATTTATTATATATGCGTATGTACACTTGTTTTTAACATTACTTATTTTTATAAAAGTAAAATTATTTACTAAACAGGACATTACATTCATACAAAAGCACCGAAAGACATGGGTCTACAATATTCGCATACTTGATAACTACATGTTATATTGTTTTAATTAACATATGTTGTCTGTATCTTTAGATTAAAATATATACAATAAAATAAGAATAATATTTTACTACACATTTTCAAAGTTACAGATAAAATTAAATAGTATAATTTTATTTTATATTTTAAATATGAATTTTTTGAACAAATAAAAAATTACAATAGTTAATTAAAAATTGTAATTAAAGTAAGAATTACAGACAACACGAGAATTGTAGTAACGTATATAAATTTTTAATTACAAATATGTAAATATAATATTCTGAATTTTGCTTTGTTTTTTTTTTTTTTTTAGTGTTCGAAAATAAAGGCAAATACAAAAGAGTAAACAAAATGTGTGTGCTTATAAATAAAATTGAGAATATAACAAAAGAAATTATGAAACGAACAGAAATATAGGAAAATCACTTGAAATTTACAATATATTTTCAGAAATGCTATAATTTCTCATTATACTTACTACAAATAAGAATATAATAAATTTAAAGATTGATTGATACCATATATAAAAAATTAAATAATTAATATTTCAATGAGCTAATATTGTATTTTGAATTAAACATTTTACTTAAAAAAAAAAAAAGAAAAATTAATTTCTTAATGAACAGAATATTGAAAACACACTATGTATAACTATTACAATATACATTGAATAAAATATAATTAAAAGATGAAATTTTACCAATGTTTTGGTTTAATAAATAGTAATTACAGTAGAGCCTTCCACATCTGAACTAATAGAGGTAGAAATGGAGTTTGATGAAATAGAACCATTTTTTTCAGATTAAATTCTATACATTCAAATGGAGATGAAGAAACTTGTCAATTTATTTCAATATTTAAGAATGATATTTTTTTTTGGTTATCGAATTTTTTAACTTTAACATAAATATTTAAGTTCTTTCTGTTTCACATCATATTTTCTAAATATTTTTAATGTTTCATCATTTGTTGTCAATTTGTAGAAAAATTATGTCTGATATTTTTATCATTCATAAATGAAATGTTGATTTATCACAAAATTGAAAACGTAACATATGTTTCATATTGTTGTTTTAATAAAATCATGTTTTAGTAAATTTTTCTTGCAATTATAAAAAATACGTAAACACATAATAATAGATATAATGGTTTAGCACAAGAAAAGACATCTATTGTTAGCAAATATTTTATTCAAATAGTGTAGATAGGATTAGAATATTCGGATAATGATTCAGATGTGGAAGACTCTACTGTACATTATTTTCTAAAAGATACTTTCATACGGGTTGTATACATTTTATGTTCAAAATAATTTGAAATTAAATAAAAATTCAAATATAATGAAATTCACTTCGTTTTATATAACTATTTATATAAATCTATTTTTTTACATTTATATTATACGAACTATTTCGTAAATATAGAGAAAAAATGAAATATATTATCAAAAGTATTTTAGAATATGTAATTTTTTGAAAATATTAATGGAATAATTTTTTAAAAACATATAGGTATTGTACTTTTCTCAAAATGTAAATTTATGATTCTTTACATTATTTCTTAAAAGAATAAGAAGTCACTGAACACAGAAGATGACAATATATAATTATAAAATACAGTAATTTAATATAAATAAGTACAAAACATTCAATAAGAATATCATGTACTAAAAAAAAAAAAAAAAAAACATTTTTCAGTAGTGTCTAATGTATGTAATATTTTGTTACAACCATTGTTTTAATAATTCACAGTAAAAATACTAATTGATAAATGTCTACATATTGTTTCACAAAAGATTATATTAAACATTTTTGCTAAATATTTTCAACCATATTTTAGTTTGAATTTTTTCAATGTATAATCGTTAAATTACTAAACCTCTTAAACCAACTGCATGCTTTTTGATGATAAGATTCTAATATAAAATACTGACTTGAAAAACTGAACCTAAAAGTATCATTTAACTTCCGATATGATATAAACATCTAGGTATATGATAGCTTTAGTATTTATATAACTTATACAAATTCATCACTTTTTCTTTATATTTTCGTTAAAAAAGAATTTGTTGCTTTTCTGAATCCGCAATCATAGTTTGACCTGTACTCAGTGTTCTAATTTCAATCACTGTTAGATACAATTCGTCTTCTTCCGTAAATTTTGATATGCCTGAATTGAATTGATATTACACTCAATCCGTCCTTTGCGTAACAGGTGGAAATTCAGCGTCATCTTTCAAACGGAAGGAACCCGAAAAGCCTGGTGGACTCTCAGTTGCTGCTATCATTTCATGATACTTCTCTGATTCTATAAATCCATTTATTTATTTCAATTATAATTATTCAAATTAATAATCATTTTTAGCGGATGTAACGATAAAGATGTATGAAATTGAAATTCGATGATACAAATATATTTTTCATATCAAATTTCATTAAAAAATCTTTAATATTTAATAACTAAATATAATGAAAAAATATTTTAATTATCATTGTTTTTATTTTTTTCAACAATGTAGCTGGAACATTTGTTAATGATTGTTAATAATTAAAACATTCATTAACATTAATGTAAAAATTTTCTTTATAATAAATCGAAGAAATCTATTTGTCTATCAAAATTATTTTACCTACTTATATTATCTTATATCTAATATTATTATTAAAATATAATCAGGAATTTGATTAGTAATTTTATATTTAATGAAACAAAATTTAATTTATAAAAATACATAGCTAGAAATAACATATATTTGTATTATTAAAATATTTTTGTCTTTTTTTTATTTTTTTATAAAATAATTGCTTATAAATTAATTACATTTTTGTGATTTAAAGTAACAATTAAGAAAAATTCTTTATTAAATCAATTCAGAATAATAAATGTGAAATAGGATGTGCAGAGTCATTTTTATATTAGTTAAAAATAAAATTTAGTATTCCATAGACCTAAGTGCATATTAATCATTCCAATAGTTGCTCTCTAATAATCTAACATTGTGTTTGATAAGTTTAATATAAATATATTTAAACTATAATTATTAAATTTTAGTAAATATAGCCTTTAGTGCCCAAACCACGTAAAAATTATTACCCAATGTTACTCTCATTCTTTTCTCTAGAGTGCATATATTAAAAAAGACATTTATAATAGAGTAGAAAATTAATTAAAGTAGAAAAACTACGATAGAAGTTGTAAATGGAATATAAATGAAGAATGAGAGCGAAGAAAGCAAGGGACAGAATAGAGAATATACCAGTACCTGACATGGAGTCTGGCGACCGACCGCGCAACACACCCGCGTAGCTATTTATGCAGGCTTCAGTGGATAATAAAAAGAAAAAAATTACATCAAGTAAGGTCGATTGTTGGGGCCCCCCTTTAGCCCCTAAAGAAATTGCTTATTTATTTTAGAGGGGTTAGAAGCAAGGAAAGAGAAATTATAAAGTGAATAATAAAAATAATAAATAGTATCAGCGCAAAGGATTAGATAAGTAGTATTTATTTCATTTCATATATCGCAATAATATTAAATTTCAAATATCATAAATAAAATACAAAAATTATTTTATTTTATTATACAACTAGAAATATTATTTTCAATAAAAACATTGTATAAGTTTTATATCTAATTTAAAAAGAGTAAAAACACGTTGTTTCTTTATAAAATTGTAATTACTTATTCAATAGATATATTTCTCAATTTCTTAACATGCATCAAAATTCAAATTACGTAAAACAATGTCCCAGAACCAATTAAATTATATACAGTAAGAAATCAAAGTAATAACAAAGTTTGAGATTGTGTTCCACTTTTATAATGTAAATGTGCAATATTAATAATAATAAAAAACATGATTAAGTAGTGAGATATTTCACTCAATTTCATAACTTATATGTAAATATATTAGTTACTAATATTGCAAAAGATATTTTGAAATTATATTATGAAATATTTTGATATTTTGAATTATATTATGAAATATTTTGATATTTTGAAATTTCACAATTTATATGTAAATATATTAGTTGTTACTAATATCGCAAAAGACATTTGACAAAATCTGTAATGTAATTAGACGATGTTTTTAAGATATTGGAAGTGTGTAAATATATCTTAATATGAATAATAATGTGATTAATATTCAATATGTACTTTATTAATATTTTTTCTAATATTTTGCTTAAGTACATGACCTATAAAAAATAAAGAACAAATTAAATTTTGATATTTTGCAAAGAAATTTAAAAAATGCTACATATAATTGAAAAAAAAGAATATAGATCAAATAAAAGTACAATTGTTCAATTGATTTTTTCAGTAAATAAAAATAGTGCCAAATTCAAAACATAACATTTTTTAAACATTACAATGAAATTTAAAACAAAAGAAAAAAAAATTTTTGTCTAACATATCTCAACAGTCTGGTGCTGTTAATAACAGCAGACAATATGAATTAGGTGAAAAACTTCAATTATTAAAATTATATTTTTTAATGTTTCAAACTTTTTTTTATATATATACCAATAACATGTTATATATATAATATATACGTTATGTATAGAACATGTACATATATGTTATATATATAACAATGACAGACATAACAATAACAATATATATATATATATATATATATATATATATATATATATATATATATATATATATATATATAATTAGTAACATGAACTGAAAAACTCAGTTTTACATTGAATAATAAATTAATTTCATATAATTTCACTCGTCCCTTGTGTCGATTAAACACATTTTTCTTATAAAATGAGTGTAAAATGTGTAAGACCACTATAAGATTTATACCTGAAAGTAGGTTATACACAATTGAATAAAAATTTAATCACTGTTTATAAGGGATTTGCAAATCTATTTATTTTTCATTGCAAATTCTTTTTATTTTTTCAATATTAATTTTTTATTACTGCGCTAATTTAACATCAATGAAGATGGAAAAACGAGGGACAGATAAGGGTTGAACAATTTTGTATATATTTTTTAAAAAATTTAGTTTTTTTTTGTACATAGTAATTATGATTATTTAAACTCACTATAATTTCGATTAATTTTACTAATAACAAAATTTAATATTTGGATATTATGAACAGAGAACATTAAAAAAATGCATTTGCTTTGATAGCAAAGAATCTAAAATTTTGAAATAAATAATTATACAATTATATATGTGTGTACAATGATATGCATACATATGCATTGCATATTTGAGAATATCAATTTCATTATAACTTGAGAATTGGTAATACCTTTAATTTTAAACATCTGCACATCCTCAAATAAAACTATTATGATTAATTAAATATACACAAAAATTACTTCCAAAAACATAAATAAATTCAATATAATTCATAATATGTGAATTGCAATGTATTTCGAATTAACGTAAAGAATAAAAAATTGTTAATATTTAATATATCGTTTAGCATTTAAGAATCAATATTTAGTTTTACTGTAAATTTCTAAAAAAAATTTAATGAAAGTAATTTTTTTAATTAATTTAATTTAGCAAAAATTAAAAATTAATTTAAAACTTACAATTAATAATACCAAATAATACTAAATAAACTTGAAAATGTATATACATATATACAAACTTTTTCTATCCAAAATATTATGTTTTAAAAAATTTTAAAACATCGTATTCGAAATATGCTGTAAAACTGAGTCTTATTCATTTAAATTCATTCAATCAATTCAACTTAATATTGAAAAATCTGAAACAATAAAAAATTATTTCCTTGTAATATACTAATAATATTAGTTTCCATACTCAGTTATATAGTTTACGTAATATAAAGAAATAATAATAATGTTTATAAGTAACTTTATTGCTAGTTTCGTGTATCTAATTTAAAAAAAATCTTTTAATTTGTATCTACGATATAAAAATAGTTTTAATAAAATATTTACAATCATATACAAATACACACTGTGCATATCTGTTGGATAGTTATTGCTAAATAGTCACTTGCTGTTATACTATACTATTAATTGATTTTAATATTTATAAAAATAGATTAATAAATTAAATTGTTATGTACCATATTCAATGTGGTATTTAATTTTTAAAATTAGAAGTAAGAAATTAAATTCATTTTTTATACATAATTAAATTATTTTTATCTTTTACGTTGTATGATATGAAATGTTTATTTCTGTAAACAGATAATTTCTTTATATAATATGATATAATATATAGATAAAATTGTCCAATATACAAATAAATGCACATATAACTTAATAAAATAATGTACAATTAGTGTACAATTAATAGTTTGTGCATGTAAATATTATATTTATAGTATTTATAACGTATGTTAGTATGTCTTAAAAATAAAGAAGACAATGATCTGAAAATTTAATCTGTAAATATTTTAAAACAAATTTTCAAATAATATTTAATTTTAAGATTTCTAATATAAATCAAAGTTTTATATTAATATAAGCATGTTAATGTGTCAGTTTCATATGAAAGATATATCTTTATCGTCAACTCGCTCGACTATAAAACCTATATTACTTTTAATATATTAAAATATTCATATCATCATACCTGTATTTTGTACTATTCTTGTTCCAGATTCTCCAGATGCCGTAGAGCCTGCTGTAGATGCATTAGCACAGTCCACATCATCTTGTTTTCCGTCTAATCTACAAATGTAATTTATTTATTTAATATATTTTATGGATATATCATTATTTATATTATTTATTATTATCTCATTACTTATAATTAAATAATTTAAGAGATGATTCAAATTAATTATTTTAATTCATTTTTTCTAAATTATAGAAATTTATTTTTCATCAATTTACAGAAGAATTATTTTGATTGCATAAAATTATTTAAAAAATGTATAAGTATATATTTTATTAAAACAGAGTACAACGAAATGAAAGTAAAAAAAAGTCTACTGAAATATGCATGCAAGAGAACAAATATCTTGAAAGAGATACTGCGAAAAATTGAAATCAAATACAAGGAAACTAAACTGAAGGAAGAAATAGAATTCATAAAAAACTAAAACAAACAGAACATTAATAGATTTGAAAATATTAACATCAATACAATAGGATATGATAGAACAGAAAAGATATAAAAAATTATAATAAAATAGAAACAAAGAAATTAATTGCAAACAGAATAATTAATTTTCGTGCAGCAAAATATACAAAAAGATAAATGATGAGGCAATAATGAGAAAGATGAAATAGCTAATTCTGAATATATTATTGTCAATTGAACATAACACAACTCAAGTAAAAACAGAGATATTAGGTAATGGTTTGTGAACTACAAAATAGATGACACTGTATTAAATACATAATAGATGATACTGTATCAATACATAATAATTCATTAAATATTTTTATAAATAATATTCCTTACTTATAACATTGATATTTATTTTACTAACATGGTTTATCCAAATTTTAAAAATATTTAATATTTTTGTAATAATTTAATAAACAAAAAGTTTATTTTTAATAAATCACTTTTAAAATGGAGAAAATATATCAGATATATATTAATCATATTAAATTATTAATATAAAAATTTGTGTGCAATATTATAATGAAAAGATATTAGATATAGATATATAGATCTATATACATCTATATCTATAGATAGATATAGATAGATGAAAGATAAAATATTTTGTAAAATATAATTTATTAATATAATAAATTAAAAAGAAAGTTTTTATACTATTTCTAGACAATGAATGGATGTTAAATCCATAAGATCTCTATAACAGATCAGACATTCACAAAATTAAACTTTCAATAAAAAATTTGTTCGCATTTTTAAGTATAGATTTAAAAAAATAACATGCATACATTTAACTCAGACGCATGTAAGCAATATGATACGCAAAGTATTATATATAATAAAGATAATAATTAAATATTAAAATTGTTGATGAAATGTAAATTAAATTAATAATATTGTATTGTAAGAATACAAACCTATGCTGTTTTAATAAGGTACAATCTCCACCTTCGGTCGAGTCCAAGTTATAAACATATAAATAACCCTCAGCACTGGCTACAAGCAACCTAAGTACTTTGTGTATACTGTGTAATAAAATAAATTTTAGAAAAATTATATATATATAAATTTTAGAAAAATTATATATATATTAAATATCATATTAATTAAACTTACATTGTGATGGCACAAACATTTTTTAGTCCTTGAAAAGGTAAGTGGACACTGGCAAAGGCACGTCCTTGAGTAAAAACATCAGTAACCTGCGAGGGTAGGTAATTGGCTGACGCAGATACAGCCTTCGTTAAATATCCCATCCAACCCTGCGTCTCTTCTGTGGTTTGTCGCAATCTATAATAATAAAACAAAATTTAAATACGATAATAGTATCATTGAACTAAATAATGACAAATTACATACGCTTCTTTTGGCTCTTCTAATTTAAATATATGTACGGTTTCTGTATTGCTCGAGCAACACAGAAACATGCAGTCAATACTAAATGCAAGACTGCTTATCGATACACATCGTTTCACTCCACGACGAAACTCAAACAGTTTCGTACCATCATTTACCTTCGAATATATAAAGAATCTTCAGCAATGTATGTAAAGTATATTGCCTTCAGCCATATGAATATTTGAACTTACATTGAAAACTCGGATAACAGTCCCTTTTTCTGAGGCAGTAGCCACTTTGGTACCATTGGGACTAAATGCCAAAGCAGCTAAAGGACTATCATGTGCTGGTATCATGGTTTTGGCTTGCTAAAAATAAAAAAGAACATTTAAATGTGATCCTTGTGTTAAGATTTTTAATACTTACGAGGTTAATTGCATCAAATATTTGCACTTCGCCGATTGTATTTGAGCCTGGATAAGCCAAATAACAGTTGTCGCTATTTATTGACAATGTACATAAACCAGATAAATTTGGCGGGGTATCTCGAATTGTATGTAGGACTTTCATGTCTCTTATGTTGTGAATATATAACGACTCTTCTAGACATACTACTAATCTCTGTAAATTTGTATTATTTTATATTTTTTATATATTCAATAAAATTGTATTCAATAAAATATGAAATCGTAAAATAGAAACTTGTTTGTATAAAGATTTGATATCTCTAATTTTACACTTTTGCAACATGTATAAAATAAATATCTTTATAGTATTTATTAAAATTTTTATTCCTGTTTTAATAAAATTTTTCATATCGTTTAATTCATCAATTTGATAAAAATTGTTTAAGCCTTATATACAAATTGTATAATATATAATATATAATTGTTCATACATATAAAAAGAAAAATATTAAACAATTTATATTTGCAACTTATATATACTTATATATATATGTAATTATTATTGACATTTTATATAAAATTTTAATAATTACGTATTAAAAGCAAATTTCTGTATTTAATTGTGTTTATACAAACTAATTTGGTAAAATTTATTGATAGTGAGTATTACTGAATGTTATTGTGATAATATTTTTAAGAGATTCTATCTCAAAACTGAATGCATTATATGGTTGCATCATGTTGCATGCAGAAAAAGGCTTAACTTTCATTAAAATCTTTCAAGAATGCATATATTTGTTACTAAATATTATATTAAGCAACATATTTAAATCTTAAATGAATATATTAAGAACATATGTCAAAAGATGATTTTTACAAAAAAACCAAAATATTTAACTTTAAATAAACTAGTTTCTATTATCGTATTATTATTTACAATTGTAGAATAAAGAAACTTACTGCTCTATTTAATTTTACAGCCAAAATAGTATTGGAATAACTGTAATGACAAATTTCGGTGCCTTTTCTGAAGTGACAAACTTTGAGTTTACGAGGTGATCTTAAACTAACTACCGCCACAAGACTGCTGCTGAATAGTCGTTCGACAATATATATGTCTTCTGCATCTATGATTTATATTAATTATGGAAGTATAAATATATTAGGGAAGTATAATGTCTACATTGAGAGTTTTTCAAAATAAAAGAATTTTAAGTATAATGGCTAACACAAAAAATTTCAATATTTATCTGTGAATGTATAAATGTTTTTGTTACCATTTTCATATATTTTTTCGAGATGGTCAATAGAGTTTAAAGAAAAAAGTTTATAGCCTGCTTTTGATCCCACTGCCAAAGATCTGAAATGAAAATTATAATTATAAGCTAAAGGATTTTGGAGCACTAACGTTTTCTGATTATATTAAAGAAATATATATGGTAATATAAGTTATTATAAATTATTATAAATCTATTATTGAAAAGAAAATAGCAATTCATTTGAAATAGCGTGAAACAAATTGAAAGTAGCAGAGAGTTAAAATAATGAAATGACTAAAAGCATAACGTTGTTGTAAGTTTGCTGACATACGAGATAATCAACGACTGCTATAAGAATGATACGCAATTAATAGGTAAAAGGAAATGAGCAACGCAGACGAATTGAAACACAAGAACTGTAACTAACATACGCATCAGTTAATAAACATAAAACGCAAGTGTGTTTTGCGTTTTGACGAAACGACGAATTAGCACATAAGATATATATTTAATGCCTTTTTTCGAAACAAAAGTACTTTTACGAAGATTTTTACGGAAGATCGTCGCGAATAGAAATAAGGTTAGGGAACAAAGGACGACGTCCTCACTTTACAGCTGAGAAAGCGACACTTACGTGCAATCCTGATTAAAGTTAACAAAGAAAACACGACTTTGAGGATCACTACTTTGATTTGCGAGGTTCATTAGTCCTGATATACTGTATTTTAATCCTTGTGTCAATACATCCACGTTATGCACGAGATTTTGCATAAATCGCACGGACAACCCGCGTAAGAACACTTTATCCACTTCTTTTCTTGATTTCTTTCTATGTTCTTTTCTTTCTTTATTTTTATTGCCTCTTTATCTGTTTCTCTTCTTTCTTGCACGTATGGTTCATACAAATACACGCACGCGCACGCTTACACAAGATTCGTGAACAGATGTCGAACTTGATGTCGACGATTCCTACAAGACTATATAGCGACTAACGCAGTACACTGTTTTATAGTGACAACGTTCCATGTAGACAGCTGACGATCTTTACTAGACTGTCGAAACGACGGAATTGAAACATTAAATTTTATTAAATATATTGTATTGTTGTAAAAATTAATCGCTATAATATTTTTTGTGTCATGTTTCTAATAAATTTCATTTCTCTATTGTCGTATTAATCAAATTGATATTTATTCCGTAAAAATTTCATATAATAATATTCTAGAAAATAATAAATATTTTAAAAAAGAACATATGTAAGTACCATTTAAAAATTATATAATTATTTTATTTTTTACATTTCTTTTTTTTCAGGATGACATCATTATTTGTTAGTATAAAAGGTAGAAAAATATTTCAATATAAAATATGAAAAAAATCATTATTAATTAATTACATTTACTTTTATTTTAAATTTTTTCTTTTTTTAATAATTATATATTTAACTATGATGTATAAAATGAAATAAATTTATGTACAATTTGTATTTTTATGTTATATAACTATAATTTGTAATGCATTTGTGAGTTTAGCACGCGTGTGTGTTTAGTATTTAGAAAAATTAAAAATAAATTGTAATATAAAAATATTTAAAAAAAGAAATTTTAAGGAAAGTACTAAAAAAAAGTCTTTTTATTAAAAATTCAACTAAAAAAAAATTTGTTTTACTAAAAACTTTACTTAAAAATGTTTCTATTGTTCTATTGTGAAAATTTGTTGAAAAGGAACTTAACATTCAAAAGATTTAAACAATGTTATTATTATTTGCGTGATTTTTTCTTTATGTGATATGAGAAAATCAAATATTCTTTACTATCTTTTTTTTACCCAAGTAGTCCAGTTTAAATATAAAATCAGCTGTATACCATACTCAGAACGTTTGAACGAGAGAGCACTTGAGACTTATCTAGTAATAGTGGTCACGAATTTATTCTACAAGCGGTCCAACGGTTCAAAAATTATTTCGATAGGTCGTGGAAAACCATTGGATTATAGCTTCTCCAGGAAAACACGTTAACAGAAAGGGAATCTAACGTTCTTTTATTCTATCAACCTTGCGAAGCTTTTTCCTGAAAATCAAAAATATAAAATAAATTATTTTTGATCTTATTCAAATAATTTTTAAATTTTAAATAAAAATTTCATTTATTGTAAAAATCATTCTTTTAGTTATAACTTATTTATTTAAATAAATAAAAATTTGTTTAAATTAGAAGAGCACGAGTCCTCGACACTTCGAAATCGGAACGGATCGGATAATTTTGATCGAGTTAATTTCATCGAATTTTATTTTAACGAACAGAGCAGCGAATATAATATAATACGACACGGATTCGTAGTTCTTTTTAGAGATACTTCAAATTTTCTAGCAATTAGTATGCTAGTCCGATGTCTGTGTTTTTCGTTAGAGATTTCAATTATAGTCTTTGAAATTTTCACGCGATTCTCACTCGTGTTTCCCTAACGATCGAAATCCGGACAATAACTGAAAGTTTTTCGTTGTTGCCAAATTTCTGTTCGTCGACGCATGGGGTAATTTTCTATGTCCCTTAGGAAGGAGAGGAAGCGGTGGTATGACACGGCCTAGAACTTTCTCTGTCCACATTTCGAACAAAAGAAAGCAACGTTCAACATAGAATTTAAGCTAATTTTAAGATAATCCATATTAAAACATTTCTAATATAGTATTACGGATGGTTATAATTATACAGTGCAGTACAACAATTTTATAGTCTGATAATATTTAATGAACATATTACCAATAATTAATATAAAACATTATATATAAGAATAGCGCTCCCACCCTTTACACATAACCAAAATATTATTGTACAATCCCGTGCCTTGTATAATAATAATAATAAAAAAAAACATAACCCATAGTTAAAGCAAAAATTAACGCTTGTTACTGTTAATGTAGCAATAAGTGCAATGTAGCAAATTTCTATCTTAAGATTGCGCGTGCTCCAGGATTGGAGTCTTTAATCTAAGAACGCTACAAACTGATAAGCTTTTACTCGTTATGTTTTTGTACATATGTAAATATTGTATATACTGGCACAAAATAAACGTCTATTAATAAAAAAAAAAAAAAAAAAGAGGAGGCGGTGGAATAAAACTAATTAATTCTATTGTAAGTTCCTCAGGAGTGGAATATGGAAGAGCAAGGCAAAACTGAAAGCTTTTCAGTAACGAAATCATTACTCTTAAGCAATCATAAGCATTCAGCATAAATATTGCTCTTCTCTTAAAAATAAATGCGACAATCGTTGTTTCCTCGGTCCCACACGACACGGGTGACTCTTCAATCGGTGCACATGAATACTATAGTCAAGTTCTATAGTTAAACACGAGTTAAACACAGTGAGCTTAACAATTATATACTTAGTAATTACTAATTACTAATAATTATTGCATCATATCGATTTACCAGCTTTTCTGAATTTTGAGAATTATTGTTTACAAGTACAAATGCAAAGGTATAAAATTAATGTTTCTTCCGTTGTATCGATTGGAATAACTTTCCCCAAAGCCTGCGATTTCGGAACGTTGAAGAACAAAAACAAAGACTATGCGATGAAATATCGAATACTGTCTTCGTGATGAATCGCCACTTTTAAATTTATCTACTATTATACTTTTTTAACTGTTTATAACCGCGATGTCAACATTCAACAAATTATATTTATTAAAAAACTACCATATCATTTGCGCGATTTTTTTCATTGTATGATGTGAGAAAGCCAAAAATTATTTATTATTTTCGTTTTAGTTAATTCGAATATAGAATCAGCCGCTAAATACCACGTGACAGTCAAGTGATGGGGGAGAGACATTCGGGCGTTGCCTAAGTCAGGAATTTAGCCTGCTCCCTCCAACAGATGAAGGGTTCGAGGATTATTTCGGCAGGCCATAGAAAAACGGACTAGACTATAGTTTTTACGAGAAGGCACATTAGCTAACGCCCTTTTATTCCATCAACTTTATAATGTTTTTCCCTGAAAAAGAAAGAAAAATTAATTTTTGATGTTATTTAAATAATTTTTATTTGAACAAAAATTTTACTTTTATTGCAAAACTTATTCTTTTAATTATAGTTTATTTATTATTTAAATAAAAATGTGTTCAAGTGCGAATACTCGATTATTTATAAAATTGGATAATTTTGGTCGAATTAGTTTTAATTTCACCGAGTTTTATTTCAAGGGAGAGCAAGCAGCAACATGTGGCAACTTTTAGGATATGTTCTCCTAACTACAATGCTTCCATTAAAGAAAAGTACCTTGCTGGATGTTGTGGGATTTCACTCGTCATCGCTCTCTAATTACTCTGCTAGCCGTTTTGTTAGCTGCTCTTGTTGCTCTAACCTTGTAGCTCTCCTCTTTGCACCTCTTGCACCTCTCACTGCATTCCTTGACACTTTCCTCGATGTTCACCTCACCATCTTCCTCGATATTCTCCTCATTGCTACGCTGTCATCCACAATTTTTATTCTTTGTTCCCTAGATACATAAATAAAGCTGGAAAATACGAAAAACCAGATTTCTGGTTTCTTTCATTTTTCAAAGTGTTGACGAATCTAATAAACAATTATACTAATACAGTAGTTGTACCGTGACTTTGGCAATACAAATTTTTATGTTTGGATCGTCTCCCCTTTTTCCCATCTTTTCAAAATTTCATATCGATCCGTCATCCAAACCTCCATATAAAATAAGAATATTGTTGGTCAAATGGTCTCCCTTCCCATCAATTGACATGTTTGAAGAGTATCATGACGGAATCTCAAATATAAGATCTTAACTGTTTTCAAATTTGTGTCTATTCAGAACCATATACCGATACATACATACATATATATATATATATATATATATATATATATATATATATATATATATATATATATATATATATCATCGTGTGTCATCGATAATATTCGTAAAACACGGATAGCGCATTCTTTCATAGCGTTGTACACAGATGCATAATATAAAATGGAGTTGTTCCAGATAGTACATATTTCGTAATTTCATGTTTCGGATTCTGAACAAGTGACTTTTTTGCTGATCGGTATTTCAGAACCTGAGGCACAAAGTTTTATTTAATGTCCAGTTATTCTTTATCAAATAATAAAAAAGAATAAAAAAAAAAAAAGAGAATGGAATCCGGATACAAACCATGCTGACCGTACGTGAAACACGTACTGATTGTACGTACAGATACTGAGGCAGATATCGCTATTGTGTCATTGATTACTTGACAGTCGACGACGTCGATTAGTACAGTGAAAACGCTTGATTAGTAACATCTGTATATTCAGAATTTAATGTGTTATATCATTGACTAATAGCATAGACCGGATGTCAAATGCTTTTTCGTGTTCCATGTTTCGGGGTCCTATCACATCCTGTCTTATCAACTTAGGCAAATATTGGACTACAGTGCTATTCGTGATAAAAATTAAAATAAAAAAATATGGACAGTGTTGCCGTTTCCTCATCGAAAATTACTTAGTGAATTAAATCAAGTGATACTGAATTCGGTGACGAGCAAACATACATATGTATGTACATATAATAAATAATAAATGAATGCAAATTTAGTAATAAGACATTATTTAAGAAGCTCACAAAAGCATTACTTTTTAAATCGATCTCTATGATTTTCTTTTCTACGATAGACTTTTTTTTACGTGTCATTGCGAATAAACAAATATTCAACTGTTGAACACTGAACCAATTCATTGAACAGTAACATTGAGACATCTAAACGACAGACAGATAATAACTAAAAATATTTCCCGAATAACCTGTGTATACCTAATAAATAACTATTTATATAAATAACTATATATATTAACGTATAACAAGATTTTTATAACGATCCTTCCGATTTCCTCTGATTGATTATTAAGAACTGAGAATGCAAAATATTTTCTGCCATCTTATTTTCTTTTTCCTTCAGTTTAAATCAGCGTCGCTGATTTAAACTCGCTTTTAAAAATACGCGCGCCGCCATATAACCGAAGACATTAGCACCGCGTTGTGCCGAAATGGTGAAACTAAGCGTTTTATATTCATACTAAGAAAAGTAATTAATTTTAATGTTTTGCACCGATAATTTGCATTTATTAGGTATATATTTCAAAGACGATGCTATCGATTACGTTCGCAAACAAGTTTGATTCCAATATTCAGATGTAGTTTGCGAGAAATTGAACGTTTGGAAAATGATTTGATCTAAAGAGCAAAATTTTTATTAACACATTCCGAAATGTGTGTAAGTAGAACATAAAATGAACGATAGGCGTTTAAAACGAACGACGTAATTCCAAAAGTTGACACGTTATTCCTCTTTATTGACATAGTATTCCTTTTTTTATAAATTAGTGTTTCGATTTGGGCCTGGTGGCAACATCTGTCGGTAAATCAGTAGTACTAATTAGCATTGGTTGAGGATACTTATACTTTTTATATTTATATAAAGAGTATTTACAGTGTTGTATCGAATCAAATGATCTTTTGCAAGACGCGATATCGAGAACAAAGCGTCAGTAGCTTCATTTTCTATCTTTGGATCTGAATTAGACAAGCTTGTCATTGATACGCTGTTAATAGGTTTGCGAATTATTATTCAATACATTGTAAAGATCTATTGTTATCGTTATCTGAGAGATAGATTCTGAAATTTAAACTTAAATGTATGTCTTAGAATTAAGTAGAGTCAGAATTTGGTATTTTTGTTATTTTGATTTGAATACCGAGACTTAGATGTGACGAAAGGCCCAGAGTGGATTTTGTTCTCCACACAATAACATTTAGAATATTTTATATTTAATATTTGTGAATGCCTAAAATTTTTTTATTAATTACAAATAACTATAATATAATATATTTATAATATTATAATATAATATTATATATAATATATTTATTATAATTATATATGATATATTTATAATAGTAATTATAAATAATATTCCAAATCATTAAAATTTCAATAGTAGTTAGAAAATATTGGAATTATTTGATAAAAAAAATTAAAACTCTGTATAACTCGACGCATACGTTAGCAGCTGATAGTTTATCCAAGTTAAATTCTGAATATAGACATACGTAAAAAATAATAAACAACGCCCTAGCAACAGAGTAATCACTCGCTGACACGTTGTACTACATACAAGTTTGTTTATACGACACTTCAGGCCAAATCCTTATATTTAACATTGTATTGAATCTAACAATCAATTAGAACCTGATCCTTTCAAGTTCCTTTTTGTCTCTGCACAGTACGTCCATGTTCAAATTTAAACTGTCTGCCAGTGTACCAACACGTGCGTCGAGTTACATAGGATTATAATATCTTTAAATAATTTCAATTCATAAAATGTTGGGAGTACCTCAAAATAAAATGTAATTCCTTAATTTCATTTTCCTTGGAATATTAACCTTTATATGTTTGTTTATACGTTTGAAACTTCTTTAGGCAATGGTATGGAATACCATTTTTCAGTACATGACCGTTTGCCGCAAGTTTTTGTCCTCCGCTTGGCCTCTTTTTGATCTAGCCATAATTTTTTCTTCTCTTTCTTCTACTAGCATGATTACAGCAGATTACGCGTCAACATGAGTCTATATTTCTCTTGGGCCTCTGTTCGACTTTATAATTAAATTCTTTCAGAAGTAAAGCCCATCTTGCCACACGAACACAGAGATCCTTTTCACGCATTGTCAATTTGAATGCTTGGCAATTGATAACGATCTTAAATGGTATACCCAACAAATAAACGCGAAACATTTTTAGCGCCTTTGTAATTGCGAGCACCTCATGTTCATAATTTGAATATTTCTCTTCGACCATTGTAGTCTTTCTGCTCGCGTAACATACCGGATGGAAAATACCATCTTCGCTATCACGTTGTAGCAAAATTGCGCTATAATCTATACTACACATATGTAACTCGGTTTCCGCACCCGTTCGATACAATTTCAGAATCGATTTACTACTTAGTTACTTTAATAATCTTATATAAATTACTTACTAATAATCTTTAATCTTTCAAACGCTTCTCGCTCTTGCGACTCAAACTTGAATTCAACATTCTTATAGAGGTCTGCCGACAATTGAATATTGATGCATGAATTTTCTAAAATATCCAGTCAAAAAACTGGCTGGTACATTTTCCTGGGCCTTCTGACTGGCTAGTCTGCCTCTGCTTCGTGATATTTAATGATATCGACAAGTGTATGAAGACATTGGACATGAAAGTTCCATTCAACAAGAATTGAGAAACATGAACTCTGCTAGATCAATTGAAAAGGAAGAATAAAAAACATGTTACTTACTTGATTAAGGCAAATATTGTCGACGTGCTGCTCTAAGAAGAAATGCGTGTTGAGGAAAGCTCTCGAGTTCTCTGATGTTCTCTGAGTTAATTGCCTCTCCGTATCTGACTGAAATCTTCTCCGTGAAAACTTGTCTATTTCCCTTTCTAGGAAAATTGTCTGGAAAGGGGATGCCGAAAATCTTGTGGAGGCGAAAGGGAAATTTGGTGGAAAAGTGATCTTTCACTTTCCCAAGTTCATCTAGACCTTGAGGACCTACCTCCTGAGGTTCTCCTGAGGACCTACCGAAATTTATGATCGAAGGCCGTTCATTGTTAACAGGACTCTTAAATGGTTGGGATGAAGACCCATTTCATGTGTTAAGAACGGGACTTAGCTGTTGTTTGAGAATTTTATAAAGTTCTGTCCGTGTCATACGTTACGGTCGTTGCTGGCCTTAACATATTTCAAAATCATAACTCACAATGTTTTACAACAGAATTCATGTCTTTTAATTCGTAGTGGATGGAATTTCCTATTGCATTTCCTACAAGCTGATTGTAAAGAATATATATATATATATATATATATATATAATCATATAATTTATACGATTTATACAATTATATACTTGTACAACTTGACGTTTATGCAAGTTTTAGCTCGAATAAAATCCAATTGTCTGTACCTCCGAGTATTATTTATAGTCTACAGGTTGCATCCTCCTCTCCCTCCCACCATATAACCAAAAAATATTATACAATCTCCATGCCATATTGTATAATAAAACAAAAAAGCCCTCATAGTTATAGCATAAAGTTAGCGCCAGTTATGTTAATAAGGTAGCAATAAGTGCAGATAATAAATTTTTAACTTAAGACTGCGCGTGTTTCAGGATTGGAGCCTTTAGTCTAGAAATAAGCTTTACTAGCTAATTGTCAAGTTTTTGTTCATGTTTGTTGTACATATTGGCACAAATAAACAAAAAAAAAAAAGATTGCGTCCTTATTTTGTCTAGAGATCTCATAAATCCTAGAAGGTCGAAGAGTCCTATGTATCTATCTTATGATCGACTTTCAGTGTGAATTTTATTGTACTATCAACTTTCTTTACAGTTGTTAGATTCAATAAACAACATTAAATATAAGGGTTTGACTCAAAATGTCACTGATTAATAGGATAGACCGGACATTCAATTCCAATTTCAATTCGTATCCTACGTTTCACCTAACTCCTTTACCATTTTCGTATCACAACCTGTCATATCGATTTCGGCAAATATTGCACTACAGCGCTATTAGCGCTATTAGCGAAATTAAAATGATAAGACAATGTTGCCGTTTCCTCATCGAAAACACAGACGAATATATGATACCTCGAGAAATGAGGTACATGTATTCATATTGTACGTCGTCTGTGACACGAACCCATACTTAATGTCTGGTCTATCCTATTCTTAGTCAATGGTATAATTATTTGATATAAAAATGCATTGGATGTTACATCTATTTTGTATTTGTTTGTATATCTAACCTATATATCTATAAAGAAATATATCGCTCATATTTAATTTACATAAGATATTACTCTTGAAAGAAATCAAATGTTAAATTGTATGCATCATCATTTAATAATTTAATATATTTTTAATCACTAATTCTAGAATTGTATTCAATTGTATAACTGCTTTTGAAGTAAGATTGTAACAATTTATTCCGTATAAATGCGGATAAAATTGGTTTTTCTTTTTGAATTTTATATTTAAACAATTTTATAGGCATCCATATTCCAAAATTTCTTAAAATAGAAAACGAATAGAAGTAGGAGAACGAAAATAGACAGTAAATAAATAAATAGAAAATAAAAAATAGATAAATTTTAACATTACGAACATAAATCCTTTTCTAAAATATAAAAAACAATTGCATCATTTAATAACAATTGAGTAAGAAAAATGAATCATTTTCAAAAGACACACCTTTAATATTAACGCTTGTGTATGATTTAAACGGTTCTATCTTCATTGCATACAACTCATAGAAACATTATTTTGAAATCATACGTAATTCTATTATTACTGAATGATGGAAACATACATAATTCCATTGAATCATACAAAAACTTCTATATCGTACAAATAAAACTTTATTATATTACTATTATGGGAATAAAAAGCAGCGAAATCTTTATCACGTTTAAACTATAAATCAAATTATATTAAAAATATTCCAACATTTTCCAGGAAAACTGAAATTTCATGGTCTAGTTTAGAAATATCCACTTTTATTCAACTTATATTAAACAACTTTCACTAAACACATTAATCTCACATTATATTTCCCAAAAGAAACGTTATTACGATATTGTTTCTCACGAACTAAAATTTCAACATAACGCAGAGATTGCTCTCGTGATTAGAATGATCAGAGGGAAACGAGAGATGAAATTGCATTTTGTCAGAATGCGTTCGATGAAAGAATGAAGTCAAGGTGACAAAAGAACGGACAGAAAAAAATTGGCGAGAAAAATATTATAAAAAGAATGAAACTAACAATAAGACTAAGGAAATAGTCAACGAGCCATTTCTTCGTACGATGTTTCTTTCTTTTGCTCTTGGATAATATCTATTAGTGAGTGTGACGCAGTACGTGCGCTTTTGTAGTTTGCTATTATAAATTCTCAAGTATGTGAATTTCACGATGCTTCGCGTATGAGAATGGTAGTGTATGACGCTATAGGCGCAATCAGCGACATGATGTCATTCAGAAGGTGTAAGGTGCGGTTTGAAGATACAAAGGATTACGAATACATATACGCATTTTATTAATCGATACGATAATAGCAATACTCTTGCAATGCCCTTGAGAGTCATCTTTTTTAGGGAAAATTAATAAGGAACTTTATGAGAATGAAACAACAAAAAATTATCACAAAATAATCTCACAGATAGATAAATTTAATAATGATTTAATTTTTAGCTTGAAGTTTTTGCAAAGAGAATTATTTTTATTGACACTGAAATCGAATATTTTTAGATATTTTTAAAACCTGAACATATAGAAGAATTTAGTTCTAGATAACAATAGTTGGTATTTTGTTGTGCTTTAAAATTTGAAAAAATAATTTGGACTTAATGTCTTATTTTGGGACTAATAAAAGGATTGTCTAACATTTGGATGAAAAGAGAGATGAGATTGATTCAGTATTATTGAGGATAATAAAATTAATAATGTATGTGAAACACATGAGATAATTGTTAATAATATGTATACACATTGACGTGTACACATATGACACATTCTAGCGAAGAATGAATCAGAGATTGATATAAGGTTGATAGGTTTAAAAGTGTTTGAAAGCATATTTTACTGAATAAATCGTGAAATATACGACGTATGTAATTAAGTGTATACAGTGTTAATTCAGTACTCAAAATAAGGCGTAGCAAGTGGATATTAAGAAGTATTTAACAAGGTTAAGTAGTGTCGAGTAAGCTCGATATATGTATATTCTCTTTCATGAAAATCAACGCCTGACCATTAACTTGAATGACCGCGTTTCCAGTGTTTCTCAATCTTTTAACCTAGTCCTCAACTTAGCTCAATATTATATAAAAGATATAAAATATATATATAAACAAATAATATAAAAAAATAAATTAACAATATTTAAATTAATAAATGTAAAGTCTCAAATCTATCATTTTTAATCAGCATGTATTTTCATTGAATGATCTCTCATCAACAAGTATTAAATATATAATATAATTTACTAAATTTAGAACTTGAAATAATCAATACTGATAATATCTGTACCACGAAAATTGAATTAACAAATCACAAAGATTAAATTCATAATTTAATATAGAGATAGACGCCATTAATTTTAAATAATTTTGAATTTAATACAGAGATAGATGCCATTAAAATATAAAATATTTTCAAATACAATATGGATTAAAGAAATTTCAATCCTTTGATAAGAACTCTATTTTTATACAATTATATTGTCTTAAAAAAAAAAGAAAAAACGAATGAAAGAGAGATTGAGAGACACTATACTACTACTACTATTACTACTACTACCACTCATACTATTACTACTACAGAGACGATATGACAGTAAACCCGAGGCTAAGTACAATGCTTGTATGTAAGAGAACGCGTAAACGTAGGCCGTGCGTCAGTCTGGTGGTAAAAATTGGAGTACGACGTTGCTCCTTCACGATTCGTGATCGGTCTTCAGCATTTAGTATTTGCCGAACTCTCGCTTCGTGAACGTCCACGTCCGATTAAATCGAATCTTTGAAATACAATTTCGAGTAAGTTTATCTTCGACGAGGCGTAACAAAGTGGATCAAGTTCAGTTTTATACGACATTTTCAACAATAAATAGTGAATTTTCGAATTAACGAAATTGACAGAAATTAAATAAATAATTAAGGAAAATGTCATTTAGCTTAGTTAATCGATTAATAAAAATTGTGGCGGAATACGAGTAAATATGATAGTTAAACTTAACGTAAAGTTAATGTGATTTTATTATAATTTTCTGTAATATTTATTACATGAATATAAATTAAATTGATTGCGACTGTGCGTGAAAAAGAATTTTGACGAAAAGTTGGTAGAAGACTGACACTGTGATAAATGTTAGGAGCAAAACAACATTAATAATTCATTACGATAAAGTAACAGAGCAATAATTAAAGTTAATTAATTTTTGTTTTTACTTTTGCCTGATAAATGAAAATTCTTTTAGTTGAATAATGTAAACTTCACTTTTATTTTGAACTTTTTATACATCTCTTGAATAATTCTGTACTTGTTTTACGAGATACGATTAATATCATTTTTTTTTTCGACGTGCGTTTAAGGCTTTCTTGCATAATGAACTTGAATGAAAACTTTTGTTGTTTTGAACATTTCAAAGAAGTTTGTATGTTTAAAAATGTTCGAACAGTTTTAAAAATTTTTGTTTGAAATATTTTAAAATCAAGTTGAACACATTCAAGCACTGCTTATATTTTATATTATATACATATTTAGTTCTTTTATTTTAGATAAAATTGTGAAGAAATTTTAGAAAAATTGTTAGAAATATTTATGTATGAAATATACGAATAAAGCGAATTTTTAAGTTAAAGGAATTCCTAAGTTCGTAAAATCAAATTTTATCACTGTTTGGACGAATCAAACTTATTTTAAGTACGTCGATGATAATTACATTCTCAAACAGCGGGTAATAAACTTGCTAATAAAATACCGTTGAAATTGATTCACAATCGTTTGTAAATTATTCTTAATTGTAGCTACGTTTTCTCTTTTAAAGCCGGTCAAAGGACACAGATAATTCTAGATTAAATGCATATTTTTGAAAGACGTTTATGAAATTTATTATCAAAACAGTAAACATTAAATTGAAAGAAATGAATTATGGAGGACAAATTGGAAAAAAGAAAATATCGAAAGACCGAGTCAAGGTTTTCAGTGACTGTGCACAAGTGAAAGTAAGACTTTCTTTTCGGTACTGAATCTTCCATACAATGCATATCCGTTTCTTATTTATTTCACTTGCAGAAAAAATCCTGCAAACTTAAATTTTGGAATTTTTATTCAATATAAATATTTTATTAAATATTTTCGTTTTCTTTATTTTAATATATGAAGTTACTAGAATTGACAATAAGATTTCTTTGAAACGTCGTGCCACACGATGTAAATACATTTTCCAAAACATCAATCAAATTTGAGCTAAGCTTTTATATTTATGCAAACCTTCTGGAAATAGAAGTTGTTTCTAAAAATCTAAAACATCATTTAAGAGATGTTCAGAAGGAAAGTGGTGCAAATATTCTTTTAACTTTTTAATTTAAGAAGAGATAATCTGTATACTTTCAAGCATTAAATCGTGTACGTGTTTTCAATCAGCAATATTTTTTACAATTCATTACTATTCAAATATTTGCTAAATTACACATCTGAAACAAATGCTACTTCAAGATCTCCATTGAAACGTTTATACTTGCAAAATTTATAAATTCGTAAGACTATTATATACATCGTTTTCGTAATATGATTTGTTTAGTATGGACATTCAGATGTTGGTATTTCTGTCAACCTTCTTTCTGTCCATTTTTGGAAGAATTTGGTTACCATAAATGACTGTTCGTTTCATTGACCCAATTACGTGATAAATCATTTTGAAATGTATTTTTAGCGAAAGTTTAATACTACAAACTTTTAATTTTTTTTTTTAAGTCGTTTCATAAGTGATCGCAATAATTTATGTTGGAGTACTTAATATTAGAATATATATTTCATTTCTATTCAGTATTTTACTTTTATTCAATTAGAAAATTATTTCAATTAAATATTTATTATAATATTTTACTACAACTATACGAATTGCGGGTCAAAATATTGAAAAAATAATCATGGTAAAAAATCACCAGCTTTTAAAACAATGAAACAACATTGAAGTATTGTTGTTTGTCAAAACAAATAATTCACGTGCTAATAATATGCCTTGTATGTAGGAAACTAAGCAAACAGTATAACCGATTTAAGTTTCGTGGAACTTTCGCAGTTGCTATTCGATTTGCATGAATAGGATTATAAAATGAGTGAAGATAATGAACAATTGACTTGCATTTTGTTAAACAATATTAGGAAATGTATCATATAAATTTGTACTCTAAAATAATTGCTATGTATGAGCCATTTACAGACCAAAACTATTAATTTCAGTTTTTAAATTTTTTAAAATCCGAATTTTTAAAAAAAATTTGTTTGATGACTAACTTTTTATATTTAAAATTAGTAGCAGTAATTGAGAAATATTATTTTGTCCAGGAAATAATAAATAATTTATTTGCAGAATTATGATTATTTCAAGAATGTATTATTTTATTCATTTTGTAGCTACGTTTGTATATTTTACGTTTGTATACATTATATAATATTTATTTAAGTTTCATTTATTTTATTTTGAGTCTAAGGAATTTTAAAAAAGAATTTTGTACAGTTAATCGATTTAGTAAATGAGCAGTTTATGTGTGATTCATAAGATGAATGAGCAAATGATTTTGATGCCTGTGAGTAAGCATCTTGCTATGAGAGATATGAAACAAATGACTTTTATATCTAAATATAGTTTGTGTTTTTATTTTTATGATTATTAAATGTTTACTTCTTTAGAATATTGGGTTATTACTGAGGTTTGGTTTTATTTAATTTAAAATATTATTTTAAATTGTTTTAATAGTATTTCTTTTGTTTATTTTATTTGGTCTGAAATTGATTTCGATAATTCGAGAATATTTGTAGATGATTGATCGAATTCATAGAGACACTTCATTTGTTTGTTGTCTAAAAATATAAAGGGTAATATATGTTAACTGTAGTGAGTATTACCATTGATATATTTTACCATAAAAGTATAGTAATTACTATAGTTCACTTATAATTCTGTTTGTATTATATGTGAATTTTAAAACAATTTTTATATTGTATAGAAGAGGGAGATTATATACCATCTTATAATTTAAAAAACTATACAAGATTGTTTATTTAGATTTTTAAATAATCCTTTTCGTTTATAGATTCCCTTCCAAGATGGCATTCAATAAGGGTTTTATTCTTAAACTGTTAGAGTTGGTAAGTATAATAATCATTGCAACTTTGCAAATATTCTATTTTGTCTTACTATCATAATTAAGGTTATATATGATGTTATAAATATTTCAGAAAGAATAGAAATCAAATACATATTATACAATAATCCCAAATAATAATCGTGAGAGTTTAACATAATTCGACTTTAAAAACTAAACTTTTTAGTATTCAAATGACTTTTTCTCAGTAAAAGAACTATTCTTCTATCTTCAGTGTTTATCTTCACTCGTTTACGTTTATAGTGAAGTTATTTTTAACTCTGTCCAGAGATAATTTTGAATAGTCTATCGCTTTTCACTTTTTCTACATCTGTTATAAATAAATAAGAAATTAATAAGATTTCCTGGAGATTTCTAGACATTTGTTTCTTTAATCTAGCACAATAGAGAATAACATAATAGCTGGTGATTGCTGTGCACGAGATTTTCTTCTTCTTATGATCGCACCTCAAGCCGGAAGTCAATCACTATCTAAATTCCTCAGGCACGCATGCTATGCATTGTGTAAATTTTCCTCATTATTTCGATAATAAAGTTCCCTTCACTTTATTTAATTTCTATTCATAATGTCGAGTGTAATATATACTTTGTTTGTATTTTTAATATTTTTATTATACTTGACACTATATTTAATAAAAATCGAATAAAACTTTGTACTTGTTTGTATTCTATCTCTTTTCTGCGAATAATACGTTCACTTCTTTTTTTTCTTTTTTTTTCTTAATAATTTAAACAATGAAAATACGTTCACTTCTTTTTCTTTCTTTTTTTTTCTTAATAATTTAAACAATGAAAACAATTAAAACAATTAAAACGATGATTCTCCAAATTTTTATTTCTTGTTGTAAATTATATGATATTGATAAAAAGCTAATAAAAACATTAACTTCTAAGATCACATTATATTGAAAAGAAAATAAAAAATTTCTTGTTAAATCAAATAACATAAACTAAATGTATGACGTAATGTCATTATGCGATAAATTAATAATGCAACACATATCGTGGTTAGTGAACAGAATTCATAACATGTCATGAATGTAACATTAACAATGAAGAATACTTTTTAAGTACATCGATTAGTATCGATTAGATTTTCTGCTGAAAATTTACATCTTCGTAACAGAATCAGCTTCTATTTAAAACGAAATACAATACGATCGTTGAATCCTAATGGAATTATTTATGGTGGTATTCATGGAGTTCATGGACTTTTTATTCTATACTAAATATTTCTCTTTTATAGATATCCTCGAACATTGATTTCAAACAATTATGCTGAAATCAAAAATCTATTTTAATCTAACTTTATATTTTGCATTATTTGAAATATTTTTATATTAAATATATTTCAAGAATACAAATACTACGAGCATTTATAATTATTATAAAATAAATGCTGAACTTCATAGACATTCAGAACATTATCTTAATAAAAATGAGAGTATTTCAGACTACTATAAAAATGTAAGAAGATTAAAGAATTGAACAATCTTTCATTAGTATTTTAAACAAATGTTCTTGTTCCAAATTAAGGTTTCAACTATAATCAAGATGCTAGTAGCATTCGAATTAATATCTAATTGTTCATAATGCTGATTGATTAGAAATATTTATTTGCTACAATTTTTAATTATACTAAATATATAACTTTTAATTTCCTCAGTGCTTTGATAAATAATATACCTTCTTTTTATTGTTTTCAGATAGTGGTGTGCATTCTTATAGGATTACATTATCACTCTTTCAGTGATAGTAGCATAAATAGTGCGATGATTACAATGGGTGCATACGGTGGATATTTAATTATTCTCGTGGGAACATTCTTTGGAATTATTATGGGAACTGGTGTAGAGCGTCGTATAGTAAGTAATATTTAATAAGTATAATACTACAAAATACTTTATATGTATTTATCCTATATTTTTGTTTCAAACTGCTTCAAGCTTTTACTATATAACGTGTTATTTTTCAATTCCCTCTATATTTTTTTGGGGGAGTATTAAAACCCAATATATAAATAAGATAAACAAGTTTTTCATAATTTGTTCGTATAAAATTAATGCGTTGCAACCATGAACAATAGAGTAATCTGTTAATCAAGGAAGAGATTGACTTATCATTCTGATTTCCAATTATTTTGAACATATTTAAAAATTCCTTTGTTTACTAATTCTTTATAGCATATCATATTCATATTTGAAAAATTTAAAATCGAGTTATCTGAAATTAATTTGTTTTAATTAATTTTTAAGTTTATAATTATAGAAATTTCTGTTTACATAATGATGTAATGAATATGACCTGGTTAACAGATATATGATATTGATGGTTAATATATATATGTAACTATATATGACAATATATATACGTAAATTGTGGAAGGATACTTACAAGATTGTTAATTTGCAGGACATGTTCTACTCAGTGGTCGGTTGCATCTTATTCATCATCGCCGGTGCTCTGATCCTCGACCACTTTGCGAATTCAGTTTACCGTGGTTCTCTCCGCGACACGGGACTGGCTAAAGGTTGCATCAGCATCGTCGGGGGAATTTTATTTTTGGTAGATGCAATACTTGTGTTCCGAGGAGAAGTCTAAAATACAGAATAAATCGTTGAATATCAGGAACCACGCAATGGTCGATTCATTTTCTAGAGTACAATCATACAATAATGAAAAACGAATAAAAACTTCTTCAAAATTGTAGGAATTGAATTTCACGAAGAAGTCTTTATTCTCAAAATCTTAGACAAAATTGGTTAGAATAGAGAATTATTCAATGGTAAATAAGTACAAACAGAAGTAACAGTTGAAACAAAACAAAAATTTGTTTTTAAAGAAGTATAATTGAGTAACTTGAGTGAATTTATGTTGGGTGAGAAATTTTTTAGCATCTATAATATATGTATATAACATAAGAATTTTCAAATGTACTCGAATGCTTAACACCAAAAATTTTTAATAAAAGATTTACGTAAGTACCGCATTACAAAATTTGAAGAAAATTGATTATTTTTAATTCTAATTTGGTTACAAGTCAATGGTTAAAATAACTTATTAAATCTTCTTCAAATTTTGCAATATATTAATAATTATACCTCAACTTTATAAAAATATTTATTTTTATAAAAATTTATAGAATTTATAGGATTTTTGCTTGTAAAATTTTCGTTTGAATAATTTCACAATCCGCTGTATTTGTTCAGGGAAAAATTTCTTTCCTTAATGCTTACTACGACATTTGTATTTAGCGAGAAAATATATATGTATAATATTCATTTATGTCTTTTTTTCAAATTCGAATGTAAAATGTCGGAAGTATAGCAAAATATCATTCTAGAATAAATGGTAGTCCGTCTCTAATCTATGTAAGTGAAAGCGCTGTAATCATGACTGTTACACATAAATTAAATCATGACCATGGCGCCATATTTACTGTAAGTTGGTTAAATGTGTCAAAATAATTCTTTCACTTACTTATTTCAATTTATTCAATTTATGAATTTATAAGTTTATAACCCAGAATATGTCAGAATAATCATAATTTACATTTAGCATAATGTATGTGTAATTAAATGAATAATGTATGTGTAATTAAATGAATAAATCGTTTTTTTAAATTCTTTTTAAAATGTCTATTGCTTTGTATTAAATGAAATTCTTTTGAAATAAGTATAATTTTTTTCATTAATATTGTTATTAATATTACGTAATAGAGTTAGGTTAAGATATTTTCTAAGTGGTATCAAAACAACTATTCGAGAAATTTAATAGTTAAAAACGTGCATATAGTAATCTTAGAACGTGTGAGTAATAATCTTCTTATAACGAATAAAATATATTCAAACAGAACATATATATATATAAACACGCAAGAAATAAAGCATTTATGACCTGTGTTTAAATATAATTGTACGATAAAAGAGAAAACTTACGTTAAATTGTAATTGTAAATGTAACCGTCCAAGTTGCAGTTTCGGTTTCGATATATTTCGAGAGACGCGGAGTCGATAAAGTTTCTGAGTCGATGTACGAGTCGGTAAGGTCGATCAACTGCAACAGTCGATCGTGCATAGTTGCGTGTGTGCAGACTGTACCGCCGCTTCGAGCAGCCGTTTTATTTACTAATTGGAGTGCCGATGTACGGTAGGAAGCGTTAAATGTGCGTGGAAAATGTCGAATCCGGGCGGTAGCAGGAGGAATGGGGCCATGAAGATTCGTTTGACGAGTGAGTTTATTGAGAAATTACGATGAATCTGACGAGAGAGGAGTGTGAAAGTCAGTCCCATAGCCAACACGCGTTGTGATCCTTTCCTTGTCTTGATTTTTTACGTGTTCGATACAGTCCTGCTGTAGTGCTTACGACGATTATCTTTGAATAACATCAAAACCATTCTTACAAATATTTCATGTCGGTCGATTAATACGGAGAGAAAAATACGCAGAAAGGCTTGACTAGGGTTTTCGTCCTTTGGTTATGGCAACTCCCTATCCGAGGTCAAGACCCCACCGTGAGCACTCCGGGAGACCATAGACCAAAGAGTTAATTTCGGTAGATTTGTTAAACCCGAATCGGTTCTCCCTTGATATACGACACATTTTACCAAGTCTGACATGTTACAAGCATTTTTTCATTTTGATATCACTCCTTGTTGACCGATTCAATAGAGAATATTGCGGAGCTCATAATCGAATGTGAATAGCCCTAATTAACAAATGTCAGACGCTTAGTACCGAAGCATGAGTTTAATATTCGCTAAACGAATGTACGATTTAATATTTTGTTATTTTTCAAGTCGATTGTAAATTCATCAATTTTTTTCAAATGACTAACTCTGTTGTATAAGATTTATAATTAAAAAAATGCTTTTCATCACGTATTGTTGTTTTCTTCTTGAGTTTAGTCACACTGTATTTTATTACTGTCATTATTCAGCATCAGAAAGTATTAAACGGTAAAATTAATGGGTCAATGTCAAAGATATTAAACAAGATTCATATTTGTATGTACTATGATGTAACTTTCTATATGTTATTAAGTAAATGTGCTTAGAAATTGTATTATTTAATTTGCTCTCTGATTGATTGTATCATTCTGTAAATCGTTATTACCTGCACTATAAAAATATATTTATTTAAGATTCATTCATTCATATATTTATTATATAAATTTTACAGTTTTATGTGCCCGTAATCTTGCCAGAAAAGATCTGTTTCGTGAGTATTTTTTATTTTCCAAAAGGAACAAAAATCACAAAGAAGTATTTTATTGAAAAAAATAATTTATTTCAGGCCTGCCAGACCCTTTTGCTAAAATAATTGTTGATGGTTCAGGTCAGTGTCATAGTACACATACGTGCAAGGCAACTTTAGATCCTATGTGGAATCAACATTATGACTTGTAATTATTTTTTAACCATAATAGAAGCACAATTTTTTATATGAAAACTATATAAATTTTCAATTTTATAGGTATATTGGAAAAGATGATGGTATTACAATATCAGTTTGGAATCACAAGAAAATCCATAAAAAGAAAGGTGGAGGATTTTTAGGATGTGTACGAATATTGTCTAATACAATTCAAAGACTGAAGGATACAGGATGTAATTATTATTTTCTATGTACTATACCATTTTTGATGTTAGTTTTGCAATGTTTAATAGAATTTGATTGTTTTATAGATCAGCGATTAGATCTTTGCAAAGCACATTCAGATGATACAGATGTAATTAAAGGAGAAGTTGTAATATCTCTTTTATCACGAGATGGCCACAATGGTGCTGTGAGTAATACAGTGGGTCATAATGCTGTAGTCGATGTTCTTGGAGATTTGAGCTGTCCAACTGATTTGCCAGATGGATGGGAAGAAAGAAGAACTCGAAGTGGGCGACTGTACTATGTTAATCACTATACTAGAACTACACAGTGGATTCGTCCAAATGCGCGGTTGGTTTTATTAATTTTTTTTAAAGATATATTTCTTTTTTATTAAATTCACTCATATACAACTTGTATTAATGATTATATAGACCCACCAATGGTATAATACCAACTACACCAGAACCACCACCATTACCATCTTCTGAACCTACGTCTCCTAGTGGCAGTGGTAGTCCACCTAATATAAGAACAGAAAGTCCTACTAGAAGTACAGCTGAATGGAATGGGGATGGAACACCCAGTAGAACTCCCAGTAGAGATAGTTCTGCTCCAAATACACCAAGAAATACACCAACACAACAGCAGAACAGAAATCAACAAAATCAACATAATACGAGAAATGTAACACCTGCATCATCAAGGGAACGACGACCAGCACGAGCAAGCGACGAACAAAATGGCAATCAGAATGGTAATGTTAGGCCAGAACGTAGTATTAACAATGCTCAACTACGAAGACCGTATCGAAGTAATAGAAATAGAAATAGCATAGTGGTTCATAACGAGAGGAGGTACGATCCTCCGCAACCACCAGATTTACCTAGAGGTTATGGTAAGTAATTGAAAATCTTAAAACCTGTACGAATATAATGATATAAACGAAATAAAAAATATTAAAATAATTATTGTATAGAAATGAGGAAAACACAACAAGGTCAAGTGTATTTTTATCATGTACCAACGGGTTCATCTACCTGGCATGATCCTAGAATACCTCGCGATTTACCAGCCAATGAATTAGCAAATGAACTTGGTCCATTACCGAGCGGTTGGGAAATGCGACAAACACAAAGTGGTCGTGTTTATTTTGTTGACCACAATAACAGAACTACTCAATTTACTGACCCTAGACTGTCCAGTCAAATCATAAGCAATTTGTTAAAGTAAGTCAGTTATAAATGAAAATATTTTAATTTACAATAATTTACGTATAATTTAATATATAAAATTATATTTTTCTCGTAGTAGGCGACAGAATAGCACAACTAATCAAACTACAAGTAATTCAAATAATTCAACTGCAGCTGCAAATGAATCTGCAGAAATAGAGACACCTGTATCACCAAGTATTCAAAGCAATATAGTTCAACAAAGGCCAAGAACAGAAAATGGAAGTAATAATAATTCCCCAACATGTAAGTTTAATAATTTATGTTTTAATGATATTATGATTATTAATAAAGTTATTTAACTTTAAACATATTTATGTAATATGTTTTTAAATACATTATAAAATTTAAATATTTGAGTTCATTATACAATTGAGTATATTAATGTTACTAATATTGTTTAAAACAATAAAATAAAAATTAACTTATTTTATGCTATCTAAAATGTTTTTGCATTATAGAATTTTATCTTATCTCTGTATCTGATAATTTTCAATCAATTTTATTCCAGCAGAATGCCTTTCCATTTTTCGGGTATTTTATTTGTTAGAGTACATTATCGTAATTGTTCCTAAAAGAAAATAAATTTTGTTCGAGTTTCTTGCATTTTTATTTGTTATATTTATTTTAGTGGAAAATACGTCGACTCAAAATGCTCAAACTGTATCAGAATTGCCAAAGGAACTAATGGACAATGAGCTACTGCCGAAATATAAACGTGATTTAGTAGCAAAATTAAAATGTTTAAGAGCAGAATTGAATGCCCTTCAGCCTCAAAGTGGCCATTGTAGACTTGAAGTATCAAGAAATGAAATATTCGAAGTGAGTGTAATTTTATGTTGATGATATTTTCTCAGTTCATAAGTTTAGTAACATATAAATTTCTTTGTTATAGGAGTCATATAGATTAATAATGAAAATGCGACCAAAAGACATGCGTAAAAGACTTATGGTAAAATTTCGCGGTGAAGAGGGTCTTGATTATGGTGGAGTAGCGCGAGAATGGTTATACTTATTATCGCATGAGATGTTAAATCCACAATATGGGCTTTTCCAATATTCAAGAGACGATAATTATACACTTCAAATTAATCCAGATTCAGGAATAAATCCAGAACATTTATCGTACTTCCACTTTGCTGGCAGGATAATAGGAATTGCCGTTTTTCATGGTCATCATATAGATGGAGGTTTTACAACTCCATTTTATAAAATGTTGCTTAATAAAGCAATTACTCTTACTGATATAGAAGGAGTTGATCCGGAATTACATAGAAGTCTTACATGGATGTTGTAAGTAAGAAAAATAACAATTGTTACAATTTTTATAAGACACTGTAAAAACATTTCGTTTATAGGGAAAATAGTATAGACGGAGTGTTGGATGCTACCTTTTCAGTGGAACATAGTAGTTTTGGAGTGTTGAAAAATCATGAACTTAAACCAGGTGGTAAAGACATTCCTGTAACCGAAGAAAATAAAAAGGAATATGTACGTTTATACGTAAACTATCGCTTTATGCGGGGAATTGAACAACAATTCCTAGCATTACAAAAAGGATTCCACGAATTAATTCCACCTCAACTATTAAGACCTTTTGATGAAAGGGAATTAGAACTGGTTATTGGTGGTTTAGGAACAATCGATATTAACGATTGGAAAATGCACACACGGTTAAAACATTGCACACCTGATACGCCAGTAGTAAAATGGTTTTGGCAAATAGTAGAATCTTATGGAGAAGAAATGAGAGCTCGATTACTTCAGTTTGTTACTGGAAGTTCTCGAGTTCCCTTGCAGGGTTTTAAAGCTTTACAAGGTAACTATTCTTGAATTAATTAAATTCATTCTAATTATATTTCTTTAAAAATATTGCTATTTCCATATATTTTTATAGGATCAACAGGAGCGGCAGGTCCACGATTATTTACAATACATGCTGTTGATGCGCCAAGAGAAAATTTACCAAAAGCGCATACCTGTTTCAATAGAATAGATATTCCAGAAAGTTATCCCAGTTATCAGAAAATGCTTGATAAACTTACACAAGCAGTTGAGGAAACTTGTGGTTTCGCTGTTGAATAATAGGTAAAAAAATATAATTTTAATGCATTAATATAATATATTTGTTTTATATAATGAGCACACTTTCATAGTAGGAAATATTTGTCGACAGATTTTGCTGTCGTCAAATTAAAAATAAATTTTTGAAGTACCAAGAGATGTTATTGACGAGAGTATGGGTAGTATTATAGAATGAAAATGTTAATACATAAAAAGTCAGAAATAATTCTGACAATGTTTTGTACAAATAATTAAATGACCTTGATGGTTGTAATGATTTTTAAGTCATTATCGATTGGTACATTATGTATGTGAACACTCTTGTGATTTACACACTTCGTCCAAGAACATTTTAATGAATGGTTCCTCAAAAGTTCTGGTTATATTGGTCCTTTATTAAACTATTTATTATTCAGTGACTGATAGAAATGTGAAATTATAATTTCATTGAGGTAAATATGTTCATTGGCCTAAATTTTCATTTTATTTATATTAATCGTCATAACTCTAGGCTCAATAATTTACTTATAAGATCACTATCAAAGAATACTTCATTATCTTCAAGAAATGATAAAAAAATATAAAAATCATGCATGCACAAATATGTATAGAAAATGAATTCTTTCATATAATGAAAAACATTGTTCAACTAAAAATACGCTCGTGTTGGTATTTTATATTAAACAAAAATACTAAAAAGTGAAGAGAACAAAAAGTATACTAATCATTTAAGAATCTCATAACTTAATTTATACAATGCATTATTTATAATGAATTTTAAATCAATCGGACAATGTATTTCATTTTCGAAAGCTTTCAATTTCTTTTTGATTAAATGTAATCACAACATGCACAGTCAATTAATGATTCCACATTAACAATCTTTCAAAAAATAGAGTTTAGTAAAAAATAGGAATATATACTCAAATTTACGCTATTATAGTCAAATATCAATTAAAAAACAGTGTTGGGTATTTAGTATTTTATCGTGTATTATTTCAAGTCGGTCATGGTGATTGAGGGAAAAATACGAAATATATGCATCATGACCTTAGATGCAAGTGTCTTCAATTGAAATTAATGAATATGAAATACTTTTATCAGTTAGAAAAGATGGTATACATGTTCTTAGTATTAAAAATTACTTCTATTGGTATATGGACACTTACTTCGAGGAATTTTGTAACGCAATTGGCAAGTTTTGTTGTTGCAGCACAACTTGAATTGTGCGAAAATCATTGTTGCTTGTTTAGGAGCCAATAGTACTGAATGCGTTAACAAAATGTAAATAGTACAGTGTTTAATATAAAAGTAACACGAGCGTATAATGTGTGAGCCAAGTTGGCTTCGCACAATAAAAACGCATCAGTTCTAGGCTAAATCATAAATTGTGTACATTAGCTTTAATTTAAAAAAATTGAACACATATTTAAAGAGTTTATTCGACGAGTTTGTGTAAAATTAAAATGGTTTTTACTCGAATTGACTCTTTGTTGTAGTTCATGAAATAATCTATACTTTACTATTAGCGCTTAGTAAAGCATAGAAACACTTATTTATCGCACGAACCCTTTAGTCTTTAGCATTTACTTTTATTGTAAAAAATATCTAATGGCTGATAGCACTAATCATCATTTCGTATTATTATTGCATTATTGTATTTTATTCTGCACGTAACTGTGATCAAACATATCACGAAAAGAGAAGAAATAGTGGGAGACACCTTTACAGATTTGTTTGGATATTAACTTATTTACTCGTTCCATTTTTTTTTTCAAACTGTATACGTTTATGTTTATATTCATTTTGATAATTATTTTGTTAAAAATCTTTGTATTTTATATTTAAACACATAAAAGTATCATCCGTTTTACATTTGAAAAACGGTCTGATTACTTTGCTTTTGTATCTTCGAAAGTTTTACTATTAATTTTATTAATTATCAATAAAATTAATAATAAAACGAAGATATATATTATTTTTTGCATATTTAACAGTATAATATTAACATTTAGACATAGTCGTTTCAGTTTAAAATGACAAAAAATATAACAGTGATAATTGCCCTACATTTGAAAAATATTGTAAAAACAGTATTAATTGAATAATATTGCTAATTTAGGAATATTCAATCAAACAATATTATTCATATTTTTCTTACTTCTATTAATGTTTTAAGACAAATTCAAATTTTTAATTTAAATCAATTTATTAAGAATATAATCTATGTATAATATTCTTAAATTGAATATCTACAAGCACAATGAGGGTCTCCCACAAATATTTAAGCTTTTTTCAACTTCTGTCACGTATAAGGGGAATAAAGGCCTTATTAGTGCCTTGGAGTTGATGTCAATATGAAAAGTAACAAATATTATGCCATCATATTTTGGAATAAAAAGTAATAGTGCATGCAAATTTAAGGGGAAAAGAATGATTAATTTCAAAAACATCTAAAAATGTCACAATGTAAATTTTACAAGTGTATGTATAGATTATTAGAGAATAAATAACTTTATAATTAAGAAATGAATAAAAATTGATAATAAGGTCACCATTTAGGCAAATATTGCCAAAGAATATTTAAATTATTCAAATTTTTAAATATTTATTGAATATTAGAAATCCTTTTTAATTCATTATCTCTTGCTGTTAGGTGAAAAAGAAAGCATATATAAATATATATATTGAAAGAAATGATACATATAAATATTTTATAAATAAATGATCTACAAATCAATAATGCAATAAATACTATCTTGAAGAAGCTTCGATATATTTAAAACATGTTACATGCATGGAGAATCAAAGAGAATTTAATATATAAAATTAAGATTAGTGAAAAGAATAATTCATGTTATAAAACACATATCACTATGTGCAATTGAATTTTGGTTAATTTTTCATTGATGCAATATAATGCAAATGCTTTCAAAGCTTTTCAACAGCCTAATTACATAAAGCTTTAGCAGGAGACAATTTAAACAAGACAAGACAAAAACGAAAAGTACAAAATTAAAAAATGATGTAATACATATCATGTGAACTGTCACAGCGACATGAAGTCTCAAATGCGAACGTAATTTTAATTAAATTCAATAATTATTAATGCATTACGGGTATAAATGCTCTCTTGAATTGTATAAATGTTTTAAAGTTCTTAATAAAGGTATATGGTGACCGAATTTCGAATTCCATTGTTAAGTACATCGTATACTGTGCTCGGCAATAATAGAATTTTATTGTACTAAATAGCAGGATATTTTGCTAATATTTATCGGTATCGGAAGAACAAACTTTAAAGATCTAAGGAAGAAACTTTATTTTGACAAAAAGCAAAAGAAAATATTGAGATAAAAATGAGGAATCGTTTGTTTGAATACGCGCGTGTTCGTATACGCGAATATTTAAAAATTTTTTATGTTATGCGTGAAATTTTTAAGAAATTGCGAATATGTTAACTATACTAATTATTATATCATTATCATTATTGCTATTATAACCATTGTTATTATCATTATTGCGCAGAATCTTCGAAATATAAATGTATATATAAATCTTTTCCTTTTGTATTTTGGATGAAATGTATATTTTAATAAAATATCCAAAGTATGAACTTTTTAATTTTGTCTTTATATTGCATTTAATTCGACGAACTTCCTTAATTCTTTTTATAATGTGTATGTATGTTTTTTTCAGTAAAGATTGTGAAATTACATATAATATAGACAGCTGCCCAGGTATGTTCATATACTACTTCGTCTGTGACGCCTTGATTGTACGCATGCGCAGACGTAGGATCCAATTGGTGTGGTAGTTCGCTGGCCATTAGTCATCAAGTGATCACGTCTGTGAAAAGTAATTACTTTGTCAGTGCTATCTTGTTGATAGTTGTAATTTGATACTATATATATGGTACAAGGAAATTGTTTATATTTTAAGATAAATCTATCGCAATATTAAATTATAAATTTGTTTTATAAAATGGCTATATTTGAAGTATTACGAAAAGAATGCAGCGTAAGTAATTAATATTTTTGAGGTTATATAGTGCATTTTAATCTGCCAGTTTTACTGATATTTCAATCTTCTTTTCTAGGATTATTTGCAACAGTGTTTCATAGTGTCAGATGTAAAAACATTTCAAAAGAAATGTACTGAACGATGTACAAGTGATAGTAATAGAAAAGCTGCAATTGATCAGGCATTGAGAGATACTCTTCTTGTAATTTTATCTGAAAATGCATCGATTAATGTGCATCTACTTGAGATTTACATTACATTCTGCATTGAATTATGCAGAAAAGATTTAGCAATTGCCTGTTTAGGTATGCCTACGATGTTACTTGATATATTTGATTCTATGACACTTGATAGAAGTGAACAATTGTTAACTTTCGTTGAGAACAATGTGATGGTGTGGAAGGAAGGTTTATTCTTTAGTGCTTGTAAGAACAATTTATTAAAGATGTGCAATGATTTAGAAGATTTAGAAGTCTAGATCACAACAAACTGTATTTTCTGGAAGAATTCTATTATTTTTGACCAAGTATTTTCCTTTTTCTGAGAGGTCTGGTTTTAATATTGTTAGTGAATTCAATTTAAAAAATCATACAGAATTTGGCTGTGAAAAATCAAAAGGAGATGATTTTGGAGCAAATAACTAAGGATGATGATAAATCAGAGGCTAAAGTGCCAATTGATTATTGCACAGAAAATTTTGAGCACTTCAGGATTTTTTTAGAAATTTCCAATCAGTTATACCTGAAAGTGCACTGGAAGGTATTTTCAATAGTAAGTATAAATTATTGTATTCTTTTTGTTATACTTGCATTTATATATTTTCTTATCATAAATTAATTTCATATTTTTTTGTTTGTTTAGCATGCTTCAAGTGTGTTGTTAGCATTTTTATCTTTTAAATTGGAAGAACAACGTAATTGTCCTTCAACATGTGTTAAAGCAGAGAGTTGGATATAAAATTAGAAATGGAAGAGACTTCCGTCACCAGAAGTGAATGACCAAGAATTTAACGGAGATGTTCTGAAACAAGAAAGTGAGCAATTTGAAGTCGAAAATACGGATATGAAAGGATGAAAATGAACGAAAGTGAAACCGAAATGGTGGAAAAATTATCAGAAATTCTGAAAAAGATTGGAAGAAATTAGCAACCAAGTTTGGTTACACGAGTGAGGAGGTAGAGATCATCTTTATAATACGTAATGAAAAAAAATAAAAGGTTACTAACTACACTCTTTATATTTTTTAGATTACGTTTTTCCAAGAGAAATCAACACCGTACGAACAATGTAAAAATATGCTAGAAGTTTGGGCGGAAGAAGATGTAGGCGCATCCATGGAGAATTTAGTATATATTCTAGAAGGTTTAAAATTCACGGAAGCGTTAGCTGTTTTAAAATCTTAATTATTTCGTAAAAGAAATATGAAATATGAAAAAAATATGAATGTACTTTTTATTTCAGTAATCTATGTTAAATCTTTACTATATGTTGTATAGTATATGTTGTATATAAGAAATAAAATTTATAATTTTTTTAACAATTTTTTCTATGAATCTCAATCTTAACTTTCATAGTAAATTATCCTATTAATAGTATGTTTCAACAATAATAGCTGCTATTAAACAAAAATAACTAAAATATTAATTAAAAAATATATAAATATTCTACTTACTTTTATGGTAATATTTCAGCAGCTATGTAAAATAGCAGAAGTAGAATAATTATAAATATTGTTAACATTTAGACTAGAATAAAACAGGAAGCCTTCAAAGCTTTGCACGGTGAAACTCGGTATGTCCCTACATGTATAAATATTTTATACATTTTTTTGTTTTTTAATAAGAAATGATTTTGTTAGTTTAAATATGGCGCGCATATATTAGAGGTTAATCGAGTTTCAAGTATCGTAACATCACGTGACGTCGATAGATCGAATTTAAGAATCCATTAGATGCAGTTTCCGTTCTTTATTTAGAAAGACAATAATAAAGTGTACAAATAATACAAAATTTCGAACTAAAATGGTCGTCGGTGCAAACTATATCGAAGGATAGTTGGTTTTACATCGGTACGTCAAGATCTACATTACAGCATCGGGGAATTTTTATATTCTTTATAATTCTTTTTTTCCGGCACGAAATCGATTCGCCAACAAGCATGCTGACAACCTAAAGGTATAGACCGACGTTCTCTCTACTTAATTGTAATAAATTAGTTTAACGTTAGTAATATATCGTATCTTCGAATTATAGACACTGACTTAGACTTGATTTATGCTCGATGTAAAAGCAGAGGCCAACGACGATTAAGATAGCGATAGCTCGCGGTGTGACGTATGCAACGTGTTTCTTTCTGAACGAGAACTATACGTAAGTTATAAAATATCACTACATATACGCCAAGATAGATTCACAAGCTTATTCCACAACTGTTCGCAACTGTTAATCCAATTTCTAAATAATCCTTTTCGTCACATATAACATGCTGTTATGAGCCTGTAGGTCCGTAAGTAATTACTTGCATTCTTTATTGCACATTCATGCAGTTTACTATCGCACCAAACGCGCCTGCCGCGAATTGTACACAGAGCATAAATCCGGATTCCGGATGCAAGAAATTCAATCGTCTTATTTACGGAATCCATTTATTTATTTATCTGCTTTTAATCGACTCGTTTCTTACATCTAACATACACACTCATATGTATTGGCTAAAGTGTAAATGCAATTCGATCGCGGATATGAACTCCGACGAGTTTTTATTAGGTCGTAGGGCAGCCGTTAATTTACGTTTTTTTTTTCCTTTTTTTTTTTTTTCTTTATTTTCTTTCTTCTCGTCGTTATCTACTCTTTTCGCTTCGTTCCTTAATCCCTTAAACGGTAAATTATGACTCGAGTGGTGAGTATCTCTGACCACGCTTCGAAGTATCTCCTCTTGCAGCAACGTTCTAAGTACTGGACGTTTATCGTGACGTAGGGAACTCCTAACGGCGTCGTGTTAAGTTGACGCACGTCGAAGAAACGTCGATATCGCGTTTCTTCGACGCTCGATAGCGATGACGGATTAAGAGTACAAGCGATATGAAACACTGATGAACGATGTCTAGTCGATCAGTCTTATTTCTTAAAGAGAGAAGGGAAATTCGTATAAAGCGTTGGCTAATGACTTGCGACTGGGGGGCTTATAACCTTTGGGATTACAGATAGATTTCACGCTGTTTAGAAACGAGATGGTCGCTCGATTTGCATTTCATCGTCACATTCTTTTTCGTTCAAATAATATTTTTTTTTTCTTTTTTTTACATTTTTTCCCCTCTTTTTTTCTTTTCTATTGCTTTCTCGCTATGTGTATTGTGCAGTTCGTTAAAAACAGGAACGGTACAAAATCGACTCATCTCGATTTCTATTTATACAACGATGTTGTTGCTGTGTAGTTTACGTTATGTTAAGAGACAAAGAGAGAAAAGGGATAGAAGGGATGGTGGGAGAGGAATGACAGAGGGGTTAGTTCTCCATCAGAGAATCCAAGTACTCCTTATAATCGTTCTCCGACATTTCGTCCTCGTCCTCTGAAACTTCGACGCTCCTCCTCCTTCTTGTGGTCTCGCTGGTTACTTCTATACAGAGTAACGCGAACTTGTTGTCGCAGGAATAACGAACTTGCTCCAAGAGGCGTCCGCCAGTTAACGGTGATCCTAATCCGTGACGATCCGAACTGCTTGAATGCCAAGCGTCACAATACGTGTCCATTGCCCGGTCACCTAATTTGTGCGATCCGTGCCATGCCACCTTTTCTGGCCTGAAATGCCAGACGACCAGTTCAGTTACAGAGTTACAAAAGTTTTCTAACGAAAATTAAATAATTCTTGTATCATCGATTCCACCGTGTTGTAAGTTTGGCTTCTGTCTGCTACGTACGACATACATTATTATATAAAAAAAGATCAAACAAAATCGAAGAGTTTTACAAGGCTCATTTCTACGAGAATTCTTTCCTTGCAAATTTGGTAGTTGTTACAATAAGTATTGAAATTGAATTGTAGTTAGAAATAAGTTTGCTGTATTTTCTATTTTTAAACTTACATACAACACGTATAAGTGAAAAAAATGTATGTAAACGAGGTAGTTACCATGCAAAGTCGGTGAGGATATTTTTGCCATTGAAGCTGTAGATCCGTGGATTTTGCGAGAAGTAGGCCCCATTTCCGTTGAACATCTCCTTCCACGAGTTGAAGAGAACATCCCCCTGGGGAATCGGAAAACAAGTGTTTCGTAACACGTGCGGTACACTTATGCGGAAAATCGATTGGAAACTTGGCTGAAATACTTTCGTAAATAAATCGATCAGAATCGATGTGAGTTACCTTTATGTTAACGATAGGGAGATCCCGGTCCCCGAGTCTCACGATGCTGTCGACATTTTGAACTCTGGAGCTGAGGAATGCTCGAAACGTACCCCTCAAACCTGCTCGCTTCGCTTGTCGATAACAAGCATAGTCAGCTCCTCGTACACCGTGCATGTCTCCAGTAAATGGTTCGTTCAACGCAGCCATTCGTAACTGGAAATTGTAACATCCTTGAAATTTATTGCCACGGGTGGAGAGAAATATTTAGAATTATGTAAAAATTAGATATAAAAAGAACTGTAAATGCTAATTTAGAAGAAAGTTCTTTTTTTAACGAGAAGAACGATTACATCAAAAGTGGTATTAGTAAATAGAAATGAAGTATGCGTGTATATAAAAAAATAAGTTCTAATATATTATTAATTATTATTATATTTATTATTAATAACAATTTTTTAATAATAATACTAATATTATATAATATTAAATTTATTTAATAAAATTAATATAAATTTATTTAACGTTATATAATAATATTAATATTAATAATAATTTATTATTAATACATTATTAATTATTATTATTATCTGATATATTATTTTATCGATAAATAATATTTTACCAAACAAAAGTTATTCTCTTGGAATTGGTAGCTACTTGTAAAGTAGATTTTTAAATTTTGCGCATGTTAGTCAATAAAGAGAACAAATTTATCGCTTATTGAGAAAATAAATAATTATGTTAATTAGAAAAAAAAGTTATTAAGAAGATAAATTTTCTAAGAGAAGCGGTCAATTCTTCATTCAAAGAAATTCGATGAATAATGATAATTCGTTTCTTTTTCTAATATACACTTAACGAAAATGAAACGAGACGAAGTGCTTCTACGAAAACTGCTACCAAAACTAGAAAGAAGATGATAATGTGGAAACATTAATCATGCTAATATCTCTTACCATTCGTGGATACCACTTTGCGAGCAAGACGAAAATTTAATTGAAATTAGGTAATGCATTAGTCCAACTCTTATCGATAACGATTTATACTCAACAGGATTAAGATAGTAACTCACCCCTGTTCCGTCAGCTTTTACGGGTATCTGGTTGATCAGGTTAGAAGCTTCGAAAGGTGGATTTACCGGAGGCGGTGACGTGGTTGGTGGTGCTGGCGTAGTTATTGGTAAAAGCGAACCCAACTACACAAAACATAGCATAAATATTTTCAATTAAATTGAAGCTATATGATTTCCCATTCAAACTATAATAGCGCTGAAATTAGAGATTGTTTGTTGGTAATATGATATAATATAAATATGATAAAAATATAAAAGTATAAAACGACTGACCATTAATTAATGAAGGATGTAAATTGCACTCGATAAAATATTTTACAACGTTTTCAAATTTCATCTACTTTAATAGATTTAAATTAGAAATGATAATTTCAGTATATTATTTAGAATTTATATAAATGAATTATATATCAATCGATTCGTGATTAAATGTTAATCGTGCAAGGCTACCATGAATAGGAGAGTTTATACTAACTGCAATGTATTGCCAGCCGTTGTTCACTCTAACGAGCAAAGCTTGTTCGTCTATGATGTAAGCTAACGTTCCAACCGGACTCACAGCAGACATCTAAAGACACGAAACATTACAAAAAAAAAAAAAAAAATACGTTAAAAAATTACGTTATTTAGAGTATTTATATATTGCTATCAAAGCAATACTTAATAATATTTTAGCGGTATAAAAAGATTTACTTTGGTCATAGCTTCGGTGTTTTGAAAGGTCACAGCTCCTGGTACAATCTTCGTTGTGCTTTCTAAGGGACCTCTGGTCGCGGTGGTTGCAGCACCTTGTAAACATTTTATAGAGAATTGAGACGCGTTCTAGACGTACGTTAAACTTTACTGCGCAATCCTTCTAATTTAGAATATACCACGAAAATTAATATTTCTTTTAAAATCGTATTTTATACTTAGAGCGTTACCTAAATGTTCCTTTAGCTCCTTCAACTGTTTTAGCTCTCGTAGAGCTTTCAGTTCGTCTAAACTAGTTCTGGGTCCTTGCAACATAATAAAAGAAATATCGCACTTTTAATGGAATATACTCTGTTTTAGAGATTTTAAATTTTATGTTTTTCTATATATTTTCACTGATTTTCTACGGTACATAAAATTCTGAGGCACATCCTCTCTTAAGGTATATAAGGTATATAAAATTCTGAAGTCCAAATTTTTGCCGAGTAACATATTTTCGCAGACTGAATTATCTTATTTGCGCATAGTAAATTTCTACCTTGTCTGACTCCGTAATAGTCTCTCTCGCCAAAGATGTGACTTCTACCAATTCCTGGTTCACCTTTCTGTCCGATCAAAGATAATCCGGGTGGTCCTGGTGGTCCAGGAGGTCCTGGTGGACCAGGAACTGGGATATAGTTCCCTTGGGACGGTGGTCCAGGTGGTCCTGGAGGACCGGGAGGTCCTCTCTGACCGTCTCTTCCAGGTTGTCCAGGAATTCCAGGGAAACCATCGTCTCCTTTGTCGCCTTTTATCTGAATGTTATTTGTTTTTTCAAATTATGTGCTTAACATACTAGTTACAAGACTGAACATTGTTACTCAAAATTGAGATAACCGTGGAGATTAATGTTAGAAATAAATTTTTGGATGATAAATATATATTACAAATATGATATTATATAATATAACATATATTTATATAATTTATATATAATATATATATAATATTATTTATATGATATTTATATAATTTATATATAATATATATATAATATTATTTATATGATATTTATATAATTTATATATAATATTATTTACATGATACTTATGTAATTTATATAATATTTATATAATTTATATAATACAATATATTTATACTATATAATGTATAATATATATTTTATCATACTATATTATAATATATATTTATACATTCATATAGTATATATACATAAAAATAAAATATATTTATAAACATAAACTGTCTATATCACACATGTTACTCGTGTATAATATCGCTCCGATTTATTTCTCCACTATGTACACTCTTTCTTATTGCAAGTAGAAATTAATTTCTGTAAAAGAACGTTTGGACATATAATCACGGGGTAGAGGCACTTGAACCAGTTTCGTCGAGTGGAAATCGGAATAAATCGCAGATCGTGCCTTGGCGGGTGCCGAGGCCGTTCGAAAGCGCAATAAAAGCGACGAGTTTGCCTTACGTTGGCGCAAATTTTAAATCAAAGTGCGGTGAATTAAGCCCTGCCACGTGCATTCGCCTGTGCTCGTCGCTTGTCACCGACGGACGACAAAATTTCGACGAATTTCTGTTTGGGACGCCGAATAAATCGAGTCGTAGCTTCGCTGGCCGACGAACGTGAAAAGGAAAAAAAGAAGGGGGGGAAAGAGGGAGTGAATGCACGGAAAGGGAAAGCAAAAAAAAGAAAAAAAGAGAAGGAACGGAGTGTCAAGCGCACACTTGCATTAATTTTCGTCACTCTGCTCGTTCTACGGCCCGTTCAATGAGACTTGCGGGTACACACGATGATCTACTGTTACAAGAGACTGTTTCGCGAGAGAGCTGCATCAAAGTGGTCGTTCTGACTAAAAAAATATTCGAGTCTGCCTGTTCACGGAGCGACTCGTACGAGAGTTTCGTGTTGTAACAGTGATTAAACAGCTATGCGAAGAATTGACTCGAATCGGCTGGCGAAAAAAGAGAGGAGAAACGATTTCAGATCGAGAGGGAAATTTGTAGGAAGCAATGGGTTTCTTTTTCGGCTACGACGTTATACGTTTTTATATCGACGTTACGTTACATTTTTCACGTCGCACTCGTCGTTCGTATAAGTTCCAGCGAGATATTTTTCTTTGTTTTTTGCGGCTTTTTAATTTTCGGGCATGATTTCTTAAAAGTGTACTTCGGCCAAGCGAACAGCCATAAATTCAGCGTTCGCGGTGGTATTTTCTTTTTTTTTTTCTCTCTCGAAATGACCCCCCCCCCTCCCCCCTTTGACAATCCTGAAAAGTTTATAACGGCAGTTATAAATCACCGGGTGTGTATCTCCACTTCGTCCTTTCATCCGAGACAGGATAAAAAATGCATCCATTATCTTTATTCGTTTCACGCTGGAAGCTCTTTAACAGTTCATCTTTACCTAGTGACTTTTCCCTTGCATTAACTTTGCCAGGATAATTCTTCAGGAGAAAACGCAAGCGGAGAATGATATTAGCTATTCAGATGGATATCTATCGGGAAAATCTTTTAATTTCTTTTCTCTTCGTCACGTAGATCTTTCTAGTTTAATTAAACGTAACTTCGGAAGGAATAACCAACGCTTGCATAATTCTCGTTCGACGAAATATTACGAATGTATTAAAACATCGAATGCTCTGGAGATTCACATCTGTTATCAGTTCACAAGTTTCATTTCATGTGTAACCTTAATTTTTATATCGCAAGAGAGAGGCAAATGATATTTATTAAAGATATGAAATTAATATTTGACATTTGTCATTGACTTTTTTTTCTTTTTTTTAAATAACTAATGGGAAAATGCAATCTATTCCACGGGATATATTTCCCGGAGCAAAGTTATTAACGAAACATCGAAAGGTCGAAGATTCAAAGCTACTTTCTGCGTTTCTCTCGATGTTACCGGTAAGTTCTAAGAAACACAGATCCCGCTCGCTTCCCGCACAGGGAATCGCTTCGACGAGCATCCATAGTTTTCGATTTGAATGAGAATCTGTGACTGGTACTTACACCGACAGAAACTCCGTAAGGGCTCGGCGTGCCGGGTTCTCCTTTTTCTCCCTTGGGTCCCACTGGTCCAACAGGTCCAGGAAGTCCGGGAGTTCCAGGACGACCCTGTTAGAAGTAGTTACCGATACATAGCATTCACGTCCTACTCTCTCCTGTTCATGAATATTCCATGTTCATTAAACCTTTAATTAATCTAGCGTGCAGTTCGATTCGGCGTACACTTTGCGTGATTTCTAATTTCATGACCTGATTATTACACCGGGCTAATTAGTTAACGCTATTTCAAGTAATTCGTCGATCGAAATCAAGATTGATCGAACGCCGACACGTGTAAAATTTATGCAATCAGAAAATTATTTTCGTTTTATTACGTCATTAGGCGATACTCACTTTCATGGTGTTCTGTGCATTGGAACGTGGGCATTGGAAAAAGCATATCATCATTTTAGACTGATTAGTGATTTTTACATTTAAGTGGATAATTAATATCGGCAAATGTTCCGAATAGCGGAAAATATATGTTAATTATTAATTGATTTTATTGGAGTTAGAAAAGTCTCCTCACAGTATGTATATGTGTTTACGAAACATAGGTGTATTAATCTATTGATTAGCTACATTCATCAAGTAATAAATTAATATATTTATAAGTATATTTTATTAAGCAATTTTCGTTTCAACAATATAGTGAAAAAGAGAAATAAAAACTGTATATATACTATATATAAAATGTAGTAATATAAATTAGTATATATAACAGTACAATATAGTATATATACATAAACTATGTCCATTATATAAAAGTTTCCAAAGTTACGTTTCCGCAAAAAGGAAGAAATCTTCGTTAACGATCTTGTATAATTTGCATAACTCGTTTTACATCAGTGGAAACAAATTTTAGAAATAAATAAATCTTGGACTTTAACTGATATTATACTATTTTCAATATATATTGAGATGTGTACTAATGTAATTTTTTGGAATGAAATTCTTTGGCTGTTATTATCTTGATTTCGATTATATATGCAAAGAACTCAGCGATCCGAAAGCGTGTCTGACAAGTCTTATAGATCCATTGACTTGTACTTGTTCATTACGAAGTTGAGGTAGTCACTCGCCAATTAATCTAATGCCTTGGAACTCAGAACTCATGGAACCCAGATTTCAGAGTTGTGGCATCCGTCAAAAGCCACCGCCATGTCGTGGAATTTAGGACTTTATCCAGCCTCTCAGCTATGTTCCCGATACTAAGCTTCCCAATTTATTGCTGTTTACTTACATCTTCAAAGGATTTCGTCGTTGAAGAAGATTGTGATATACACGTAATATTGAATCAGAAATTACGGTTTCATTTTTGTTTCTTTCGTTCAGTTTTCAATTAGGCAAAATCTTCAGTCCTCAACTCAAATTCAAGTCGTTCTGTATCGTCAAGTAATTTCACTTTAAGTTTGTGTCTAAATTACTTGAGGTCCTTTGAGTTCGAGTAATCTATTAACTAACAAAGTGATCGCACTGGTGAAGTGATTGAATTCAAGTTAGTTGATTAATTTGAACCTAAGGTTTTAGAGTCGTTGCACATATACAATCTGCGAGAGTTTTACTTCAACCGTTCAAAGCTACTTATTTTTTACCACGATTACATCTCGTCAATAGAATGGAAATTTTTGCTCGAAATAAAAAAAGAAATGGTAATAATAGGGAAATAATATCTATAAAACAATAACAATGATAAATCTTACCACGGGAATCTTATTTCATTGACAGGAAATCGGGCGTTCGATCGATGAAAAAAAAGAAGAAAAAGAAAGAGAAGAAAGAGAAAGCGTGAAAGAGTAAAAGTATAGAAGAAGTTTCCTCGTACCACCCATCCAGGTAACCCAATTTCTCCCATCGCTCCCGGCTTTCCAGGTGGGCCGACTGGTCCTGGCGGCCCAGGACGTCCTCTTCTACCTCTCTTGCCTTCTGCTCCCTTCTCACCCTTGATGGTGATGTAGTCTCCAGAACTGGCTATAGCTGTAGCTCCTGGCGGACCTCTCTCACCTTTTTCACCCTTTGCACCGACGATTCCCGGTGCCCCGGGAACTCCATCCTTCCCCGGCTCGCCTTTGTTGCCTTGCGGTCCTTGAATTCCGTTCACACCAGGAATTCCGGCTGGTCCAGAGTCACCCTTGTCACCTTTCTCGCCTTTGGTGCCCTTGTCTCCTTTGTATCCCCGCGCGCCGCTCTCGCCCTTGTCACCTTTCTCTCTTAACACTAATTAATTCGATGCGTTCGGTGAAACAGATATTTTTTCTTTTCTAGATACAGGGTTCACGCAAGTTGGATTGGAATTCGTAGTACAACGGAGCGGGGAGTGATTCTACGTTAAAAAGTAGGAAAAAAATCTGGTGTAAAATTTTTTTATCTGGGGCTCGGTTTTCGAGAAAGTCGACTTTAAAGTTTGTTCACCTTTGCGAACGATTTAGTTGTCTATCTTTTTATCGCGGTTGTCTCCGTCTGAGATAGTGTTTACAAACATTATTTATTGTGTGATTAAAGCAGTACAAAGTATTCCTATTGATAATTTATTTTTTATTCCTTATTACTACTTTCTGTTGCAATACTACAATACAGTACGCTATTGCAAGTATTGTTGAAAATAAGTTTGCTCGACGAATTAATGATAATGAACAGAATGTAAGCTGACATCGTTTTTTTAATTTCTCGAATTCCTCCATAATCTTTTGCTTCAAATGTGTAGTATTTGAAATATTGTCTTTATAAACTTGATATGCCTCTATAAAGAAAAATCTAGAGGCGTGAGGTCTGGAGACTTTGGCGGCTGATCTAACACGAATATTTTTGATTCAAAAATTTTTTAACCTCCATCGTATACCGTTATGTTGGAAAATCACTCTTTATAGTAACTAAGAGTACATCCTCTAACAGCGTAGAAACTCAAAGATGAACAAACTTTAAAGTCGATTCTCTCGAAAACCAAGCCCCAGATAAAAAAATATTATGCCAAATTTTTTTCTTATTTTTTGACATAGAATCACCCTCTGCTCGGTTGTACTACGAGTTCCGGTCCATCCTATATATAGATAATAGTTTTCGTTCATCGAATTAGCTATCAACGTTTTTTCATATTTTTTATAACGAACTTGAACACCTACTCAATTTTTATATACTACTGGAGCGTTTCGAAACTTTATCGAACAAGCAAACTCGTTAATTACCTTCGACGAGACCAAACACTCTGACAAAGCACAGTTTTGGTTAAAGCAATATAAGCTAAACAAAATAATATTTTCAAAAAGAATCACGATCGAAATTTAATACCTGATCTTAAGTTACTCTTTAAATTCGAATATTACAAGTATATTCTTGTGACAATTCTAACCTGTACTTCGTCCACTAGTGATTCGATCTTCTTTCTTTAACGAGCAATCAGATCTGTCAGATTCGTGATGAAAACTACAATAAGATAAGAGAGTACGCATGTTCTTACCTGCTTCTCCAATGTTCACTCCCCCAGGGCCGCTTAAGCTAGATAAACCTGGTGGTCCAGGTGCACCTGGAGGACCTGGTTTTCCTTCTGCTCCTGTGTCTCCCTTGTCACCTTTCTCGGCTGGTCTCCCATTCTCACCCGGGGCACCAGGAAGCCCCGGTGCTCCAGGAGCACCAGGCTCACCCTTGAACCCTTGAATCCCTCGGCCACCCTCCTTTCCGTGATCGCCTTTAGCACCCTTGTGCCCTGGTTCACCTTTGTTCCCCTTGGCGCCGGCGATTCCAGTTTCCCCCTTCGGTCCTGGATTTCCTGGAAGGCCTGCCTCGCCTTTCTGTCCCGGCAATCCTGGCCTCATCGTGATACCTTCCGTCTAAAGTTTCCAAAACATACCTTCATTACCTTTTTAGAATAACTTTCGGGCAACTTGTTACATTCGTCATAGAGTTGGAAGTTTTTTTTTTTTTTATTTCCGTTCATTTTCAAAAGTGGCACATTCTCGATCGATGGACGAATATCAAATTTAAATGTAGTTCTAGGTCCTCACTGACGAACTAAGCAAAGTTGCCTCGACGTCTCTAATTCTTTCGAGGAGAATTTCTTAAACTCCTCTCCGAGAGAGGGTTTCTACGATTTCGTACGTTAAAGAACGATCGTGACACTTTGCGATCTAATTATTTCATACTTCTGATATCAGATATTCGAACGTGACACTTTCCAAAGTTTCTAAAACATTTCTCCACGGGTGTCACGTCGATGGCCGGAGTTTTCCGCAAAGTTAAAAACTCGGACGTTATCGTCTCGGAGTGTCCTCTCGAAAGGCACGAGTCGTATTTCAAAAATACCGAGAGGACGAGCAAATACCGTTTTGCTAATGCAATTGTCGTTTGAAATCCATCATAAAGTTTCGCTATAAATTTCCGCGGGCCGCGGACCGCGGAGCGCAAGACGGAATGCTCGTAGCGCACCGAGTACAATCTCGAAAGAAGCTTTCGTACCAAAGTTGCTCTAAATATGGAACTATTACTCACCCCATAAATGCCTCGGGGTTTCCAACTGGGCTGCATGCGCATAATAGCCAAAATTTCTCTGTTTAATCATTGGTATAAGGTCGTAAAGCTAAAAGCAGTCGGTCGACCCGAGTTGCCACCTGCTCATTTGTATCGTCTAATGGGCAGTGACGAACAATCGTCGTGCAAACAGCCGTCTTCAATATTCAATTGAACTAGTATTCCGTTCGCGGTGTTAATGTTAGTCTGGTTTACTTTGCAAACAACCGACCGATCCTTTTATCGTCATCTTACGTCAGTTACGAATTGTTCAATAATCGATGGAGCCTATTGGGAACCGTGTATTTCGTCGTTGGGCAGGAATTGCTTTGATTTGTGATTTGTGCTTTGATTGATCTCCTGGCTAGAATGTAATTTCTTATGATGTAGACACGTTTGTTGAGAAAAGTTTTTGAGAACGATTGTATGATACGTATTATTACAATTCTGTTAGAATAGATTTGACTAGAATTTTGTCACGATCTTTCAAAAATGTGAAAAGATATGAAGAATTAAGTAATTAAAGATAGTTGGAAGATAATTACTTTGCAGCGGTCACAGGTACGAGATAACTCTGAAATATTATAAGTCGTAGATGACAGTTCAATAATTGTGTAATAGAGTTAAGTGGAAATTTAGTTTTTAATTAATTAAAAAATTGACAGAATGGTTAACAAATACATATTATGTTATATTTTATATATATATATATATATAAAACATTAACAAAACTCATGTAAACGCATCCACGAAATTTCAATATATTTCGATTTCGTGGATGCAAAATTAATTCAATCCATTGACAAAAATCCAATTGAAAACTAATTAATGATACGTCATTATGAAAACTAAATGAAAAGAATATGTGAATATTGTATAAATTTTTAAAAAACCAATACTTCGTGAGAATTCCATTGTCATTCTGCTAGGTTTTTATTCAATTTATGTTTTTATTATTATATTCAATTCTTCAATTGAAATTTAACAGATGAATGTAATTTCAATTGAAAGGAATATCATACATGTGCCTTCATGTATAACTTTGATAAACAGACCAGTGTTCTCTTCGTTTCAATCATACCATAAACATAGAAAAGTACCACGATCAATGGACGTGCGAATTATTCGAAATTATTTATCTTCTCATCGTCAAATGATCGAATCGTTATTTCGCCGCCGATTCAATATTTTCTCGCGGCACGGATGGGAAATAAAACGGACAACAATAGAATGGTCAACGAATTCTTAACGCGTGTCAAAAATATTTTTCTACGCAAACATTACGCGAATCAATATTTGCAATGGCAATCGTAACAATTGCATCCTGTTGGGCACTTGAACTGCAAATTCGAACATTTCAAATGGTCATTGACACATTGCTAAAAATTAACTGATGCGGATATTCAAGTGATATTCCCAAACGTGCTAAAAAAAAGGAAAAAAAAAAAAAAATAACCGGAAAACGAACAAAAAAGAAAAAAAAGAAACAGATTGTTTCGAGAACGATCGATATCGACCAAAATTTTGTGTATAGTGATACCTCGCTGTGTTCAACTTCGAAGTTTATTCAAGGGAAGGTTTGTGAAATGAGTAGATAGAATAAATTTAAAAAACTAACATCTGAATCTATGACAGAGGTGTGAATATATTCGAAAATATTACAAAATATTACCAATGCGAATAAGGTTAGTATACAGAAATTGATATGTATTGCATTCAAGTGGATGTACAGATGTGTAATAATAGACAATCGAGAAAAATTTCTTGATTATCTCGCCATGCTTCTAAAATTTCCACATGCTGATTGTATCTCATTATAGGAAAGAGGAGATCAATCTTTCTTAAGACGACTGTGAATGAGTTTATTGTTCACTAAGAAAGGATTATAAAAAAACAATTGTAAGAAATATTGGAATATTGACATACAGAATATTACAGAACATATAGATATTATTATAGAAATTTTGCTAGTAACGGGAAATCTTTTTAAAAAAAAATACATAAATAAGAATTTTGGTAAACGGTAAATCCGATAAACTGATGAATTTACTTCCGTATTATGGTACATTGCTCTTTTCGGTGTAGAACCGAACATCGTGCTTTGTGCATTTAATTTTGTCGACAAACATTCCGGATCGTTCCAGCCGAGGGACACACGTTTTATTCAACGCGTTTTATAAGTTCCAATTTCTGAAACTCTGCACAAACGAACGAATTCTTTTCTTCTTCTTCTCCTTCTTCTTCTTTCTTTCATCTATCTTTATACGAAAGCCTCCAAACGCCTATTTATCAACGCCATCGATCGCTTACTTATACGTCACGCTAGCCTCTTTAAGCTTTTCTAGCAACTGGTTCTGGAACTTTCAGACTTTCTATCGAGAGGAATTCAACGTGGATATCTTTCATTCCGTATTTCCTCGCTCTTATTTTGTATCGAGTGTATTCTAAATAGATTTTAGACGAATTTTCAAAGAATTATTCTATTACGCCTATGAGTTTCATCTTATCACGAGATCATTTTTAGCGAATAATAATCGTGATCTTTATTGTTCTTTTTCTTTGAATTTGTTGTAAATTTTTGATCTTGAAATAGTGTCGTTGAATGGTAAATGACTATGGATTATACTTTATATTAATAATGAATAAATACTACTAAAACTTAGGATATTTCATTTTGTTTTGTATTTTACATTCTCATTGAATCAGAAATTTTAAAATTAAAAGTAATTTAATTCCGAATTGTTATGGCTTCCGATATCTCAACGAATGATATCAGCTGAGAGTTAGTATTATAGAAAGAAATTGTAAAAAAATAACAAAAAGAATGAAATTGAGGGGATCGTAATGAAAGCGACACTTATTAGGTTTCTTGATTTTTACGTAAGAACGTGTTTTAGTAAGAAGAAGCGAGATTTATAACATGGCAGAACCAATCCCATAAAAATGATTTATGTCCTGATCTATTGTCGAATAAAAATTTATCGGAACTATAAAAATCGAGATTGTTATTTTATTATAATATTATTAATTTTAGACGATGACTTTAGTATCGAAATGATTAAATTTGATAAATGAAGTATATTTAACTAAATAAATATTTCAATAAATATTTTAGTTGCCTCTTTGAAAAAGACAAGCATCGATAAGGATCGCTTCTCTTATTAGCTCTTTAATTTATAAGAATTTTTATTGATATTTTTTATTTTTAGTTCAATGACAAGGAAAGTATTTTTTTTTCTGAAAAGTGAAAATTTTCTTGTAAGAAAAACATGAAAAAGACAAGTGAATAGATATTTCATAAAGATTTTGCTGATTTTTCACGAGTATCTTTTCGGTTTTGACCAATCTAATAAAACTGTTTCGATATATGTTTTCGTACCTTCGTGCAATACAATTATTCAAATTGAGAATAATGTAACACTTTCCAAGGCATGAAAATGAGTGCCTGAAATATTCTGTTACTCGCGATATTAGGTTAACACACTCAATTATCTTACGAGGAACACGAAACATGTCGCTGGAATGACGGAGTTTAGTATGAATGACGTCAAATTGCATCATTCTGCATGATGACATTGCCACGAACGATCGAATATTATGAACAGGATCCAGTATTAAGTCGAGCAAAATTGCGGATAATAATTGATATATTCAATAATAATCGAGAGCTAGCATTTTCAAATTGTATAGTATTAAAATAATCGATAAGTAGGAAATATAAAATGATCTCTTATATTTCTTGACACAATTTTAATCTTGTTATGTAATCTTTTCATTACTTTTAAAAATATCACGTTGCGCTCATGTTCTAATTTTCATTTACCGTGCATTATAATATTACTATAATTAGCGTAATATGTTGTTCTTAGCAGCATGAACATTAATAGGTAATGAGGCATCTAAATTTGAAATGTAGTACATAATTAAAATTTTATATAGTCACGATATGTGACTATATAAAATTGTGACTGTATAAAATTTTAATGTGAATTGTCTGAGATATTTCTTGAGTTATGAACGACTAAATTTTATATTAGAAATAAATTAGTAATTAACTGATGAAATTTTTTCTCTATTTCATATTTCCTACATCATTTCTATTTCATACTTTATTTTTCTTACCTTGAGATGAAATTAAATCTAACACACAAGATATATGAATACCTCGCATACAATGTATTTTTTGCCCTAGAATTTCTGAATTCTAGGATCCCCTTACCATTTTCATATCCTGTCTTACAGATTTAGGCAGATTTTGCATCGCAGTACTAGTGATGAGAATTAAATTCATTCTTTTTCGTTCAATTTCTTATGAATTTTGTGTATTTGATTTAAACCAGAATTGTTTACTTTTTATTTCAAATAATCATTTCGCGCGAAATGCGCGATTACAGCGCCCCAAACAGTGAAACACGCAATACACTTCCTACGATTATCGAAATAATCGATATTTCTCACGATTGATTTTTAAGTGGCAAACATGGCGGAAAGGAGCATCTGTAAACCTTTATTTCATCTGTAAAGAAGGAAGCGTTATTCAGAAAGAAATATTTTCCAGCAGTTCCCAGGTAAAAATATAAATCAACAGCTATTAGATTTGTGTTTGTGTTTTGAATTTTTAAGATAAAATTGAATTTTTAGCTTCAATTCAAGGTAAGATTTAACCAAATAATTGTTACATATAATTTTCAACAATTAAAAAAACAATCGCATATAAACATTTAAACAGAATATATTATGCTAAAAGTTATTCATAATTTTATATCAAAATTTAATTTCCATTCTAACCCCATTTCCATTGACCTTGTAATATGACTACCTTTTTATTATATGTATATATATATATATATGTAATATGCTTTTACTTTTACTGTAACATTTTCTATTTATTTGTTTTTTTTTAATCTCATATTGCGTAATTCTTAACAATTCCAATAAATTCAACAATAATTTATTGAGGATGTACGTATTTAATGGCTGAAATAATAATTCTACTGTGTAATGTAATAAAATTTCTCATGTCTCAGTTTAAAGTGTCGATAATTTTTTATCAAGTGTGTGAATATTTTCGTTCTTTTTTAAGAATTTGTTATGAATTTTGTGTGTTTGATTTAGATCAGAGTTTTTTTATTTTTTATTCCAAGTTAATATTTCTCGTGAAATGCGCGCGTATTGGGGTTAATTAATGGCGATTGCAGCGCCTCAGCGGTGATAAACGTAATATACTTCCTACGAATACCGAAATAATCAATATTTCTCACGATCGATTTTTAAGTGGCAAACATGGCGGAAAGGAGCATCTGTAAACCTTTACCTCATCTGTAAACCTTTACTTCACCTGTAAAGAAAGAAGCGTTATCCAGAAAGAAGTATCTTCTAGCAGTTCTCAGGTAAAAATATAAGTCAACAGCTATTAGATTTGTGTTTGTGTTGTGAATTTTTAAGATAAAATTGCATTTTTAGTTTCAACTCATAGTAAGATTTAACCAAATAATTATGACATATAATTTCCAACAATTAAAGAAATAATAGTTTTCTATATTTTAATAGTAATTTTCGTTCTTTTTAAAGAATTTCTTATGAATTTTTTGTATTTGATTCCAGACCAGAATTTTTTTTAGTTTTTATTCCAAGTTAATATTTCCTGTGAAATGCGCGCGTATTGGGGTTAATTAGTGGCGATTGCAGCGCCTCAGCGGTGATAAACGTAATATACTTCCTACGATTACCGAAATAATCAATATTTCTCATGATCGATTTTTAAGTGGCAAACATGGCGGAAAGGAGCACCTGTAAACCTTTACCTCATCTGTAAAGAAGGAAGCGTTGTCCAGAAAGAAGTATCTTCTAGCAGTTCTCAGGTAAAAATATAAATCAACAGCTATTAGATTTGTGTTTGTGTTGTGAATTTTTAAGATAAAATTGCATTTTTAGCTTCAACTCAAGGTAAGATTTAACCAAGTAATTGTTACATATAATTTTCAACAATTAAAGAAACAATCGCATATAAACATTTAAACAGAACATACTATGCTAAAAGTTATTTATAATTTTATACCAAAATTTAATTTCTTTTCTAACCTGTACAAATATTGTAACCTTGTAATTGACAATTTATTGTTATATATATATATGTATGTATTTTATTATATGCTTTTATACACACACTTCTGTTATAACATTTTCTACTTATTTGTTGATTCTTCAACCTCATACTGCGTAATTCTTAACAATTCTGATAAAATACTAAATTCAACAATAATTTATTAAGAATGTACGTATTTAATGGTTAAAATAATAATTTTACTGCGTAATATAATGAAATTGTTCTCAAATACAGTAAAACGTAGAAGGCCTTGGAGCTCGAAATTCGAAGTAAAAACAACAACACGGACACAATGTTTATGTTCATCTTACTTATCGTGCATGTTCGGACAGGATCACCCCATCTCCTACTGTTTCTCAATTGAAGGACAAGACGTGTGGCGGAGAGTCATTCGGCTGTCGAATTTCGTGACAACAACATGCATTACGTCGCATTTGGTTCGTAACATTTTCTAATCTATCGGTGGCGTCTCTTTGATGGCGTCGCCTCTTCGACACTCTTTTACTTCCATTTATACCGTAGTAATAGTATCATTTAATTAATATACGTGTGTTTGACGATTCATTGAGCATCAAGATAATGAAATCGAGTAAAATTTTGAATTTTTTCGTGCTGATTTTTCTTCGATTTCACTCTTACGATTATCAGTACCTTGGTAATCGTAACCTCGTACGCTTTTGTAATAGAATTTGAAATTTGAATTATCGTTTCACTTTTACATATTTGCCTTCATTTGACATATTTGTTCTAACTTTTGGTTTCTTTTTGTGCAGGTTATTTCTTGGTTGCAAAGTTAACACGAACGATCATTAATTAATAATCTGATGAACTTTCACGGAAAGTTGGTAACATTTTATTTATTCTAGGTAACATTTGCTATATAATTTATATATATTTGAAATATAATTCAGAATACGTAATTTCGTAATTATATATTGTATATAAGAAAAAGATTAAATAATTAAATCAATTAATATTTTATTCTGAATGTGGAGATCGTAGTAGCTTAATGCTATATACTTTCAAATGTACATATTATTATATTAGATTATTAAATTGAAAGTTTTCATATTTTACTTTACTATACTTTCTTCGAACGCATGCAATTAAACGATTCAGAGCAAGATTTTACACGTGTATGATTTTTCAAATACATTTATCTGTGAAATTTTGATTTGTGCAAACATTTTCAAATATTTATAATACACAACATGATATATTACCAATGTGTATACTTGACTTGCAACAATGAACATTCAGAATACGACTTCTACAAATATTTCTGCAAATATTGAAAAATATTTTATAATTTCCAACTAATATCTTTAATGCATATACAAGTTTATAATCATTTTCTAGGAAAATAGCAGTTTTCTAAATGAACATGCTCTTTGCCCTTCCCTTTCTAATCAGCTTTATTATTTATTTCAGGAAATTTTTGTGACCGCGCGCAATGCGGTCGGTAGTGTTTGTTGCACAATATTTTAATATTTTTTTGAGCAAAATGGCTCTCATTAAATTCGTTTAAATTATAATTCGCGAAGTTAGAGTCAGTGAGTCTGCCGATTGTTAAACGCGCGTTGATAGTCTTTTATTTTTCTTTTTTTATATTTTTTCTTATTCAACATTCGTTTTCGATATATTAGTGTCAGTGCTTAAAAGGATAAGGCCTCTCCAGGAGATCAAGATCGTAAGTAACTTTATATAATGTACTTCAATTTACTCCATTTTTCAAATTTGACAACAAAGTACAATGTTTGACATTTTGTTATAGACGCTTCTCAGCATCAACTTGTTGATATATTTTGGGAAAAATCTCACGTGGCTCCAAAGCCAAGACTGTAAGAATCTTTCATTATCTCAAACTTAAGATTCTGCTTCGCTTTTAAGTAAAAAAAACTCTAATGTTTTATGTTTTGTTACAGATTCTCTACAGTCTCCAATTCCTTTTATCCTCCAAGAATTATTATTATCTTACGATGCTGCAAAAGCTAAAAATGTAAGTACTTTAGCACATTGTACTTGAATTAATTCTATTTTCTATAGTTCTCTTTCCATTGAAGTCTAATGTAAAATTATAATTATAAAATAAAAACATTTCAAATTATTAGAATCTCAATTTTTTATCATTATTAAAATTTGAATTTTCACAAATAACACTGTGTCTTTATGTTTTTTAAGAAATATTTCACGCCGTTCACATCCACTATGGGATTCTTTCTACTTGATGAGGGCCTTCATGATAACTTTCTCTGCTCCAGTCCAGCATCTGTAACAACGTTCTTCACATCTATCCTGTGAGTCGCATGCATTTATGTTCCTCCGGTCACTCAACCATGTCGTAGGATGAAAGGTCCGAATCGGCACGAGTGATTGGTTGTATATGTAGAATTTTTAATGAGCATAGTGACCACGGATTTTTTATATCCGTGAGTAGTAACATCTTTTTCAAGTTTTTTTTGTATTAGATCAGGATAGGGCTTCTTGCACATCGCGATTTTAACAATTAGTTTGGATATATACAGTTATAGTATTTATTTGTAAAATCAAAATATATTCAATATAAAAGTTTGCAAAAGCAAAATATTCATATAAATATCCATATGAATAGATAAATTATAAATAATTATTATTAAAATGATTTCATTTGAGCATTTTGTAGTAGAGAAGACGGATACCCTCCGACTTCATTGCTATGAAAGATACAGTTATTACTTATTGATATTGGCGATAGTTTTGTTATAATTAATAATTTCCAATTTCATCTTCCTTTTTATAATAGTATTAAATGATTCAATTATTTGAATTTTATAATTTTCAACGTAAGACAATTGAAATATATAATATATGCAATAAAAAATATATATAATATATAATATATAATATATTCAATACAATTTGAAATATATAATAGTTTAAAATTCATTCCGTACAAAAATATGTGAAATTTTATGTGCAAGAAGATACATCGCGACAGGCAGATTTTTGAATCAAGGCAACAAGTTTGAATACTGCTTTCGCATTTTCGAGAATGTGCTTTGATAAAGAAATCGCCTGAAATTGGTTTTATTAATATTTGATTTAGAGCTAATTTAATTTTGATTGTTTTAGTCAATTATTAGATTTCATATTTTTTTAAATAAATTCAATTCTTTGTCTTTATTCTCTTCCATTTGCAACAATTTCTGAAAGAGTAGTGTCATTACAATTTGAAATAAAATAATGCAACAGTCCGTTAGATACAAATTACCTAAACTAATCATTCTTTTAGTTCAGGATTTTCAGGTTTAACCCCTTCCGTGTTCATTGTCAGGATCTCACTCACGTGCCCAGGTGCTACTTGGGTGGGTGAAAGACATTGGGCACGATGACCATAGTTTGTAATTTTATAAAAAATTTCTCAGCGACTGACAATGTGTTAGCGTATCGTGCACGACGTAGTTTCCGCATGTGTGTGTGGTTAGGACGTGGAATTGCGTCGTTTCTATTGTTCCTTTCATTATAAATATTTAAAATATTTGAAATACGAATTTATTATAATAATACTTATTAAATAGACTGTAATTGTGTTATTAATTATACTGTCAATTATATAATATGATATAATGCAATATAATTATAACTTGCACTTGTAATTCCTATGAAAATTACATATATTTTTTCTCATTTATTAATATGTCACGTATAACTGTAAATATAAACGTGTTTTAATCACGTTTTACGCAATGGTCACTAGCTGTTGTCAGTCGATTTCAGGAAAATGGTACGTAAATTAGAGTGTGAAAGTTGTGTGTTAAACTCGGGTGTCGGAGGCGTCCCGGGACGTTCTCTCTAGTTTAGGTCTGCGCCCGAGTGATATGTGTGAGAACCGTGGAATGAATGTGTTGGTGTGCCTGTTTTGCCATTTTTTAAATATAGGGCGACTGTTAGGATAGGTAGCATACTTTCTGGTGTGAATGTGTTTAATTATAAGT